AACACAACTGCTACCGGAACTTTAAATCTACAATTTGAAGCCGTATGTTCCATTGTGAACGTAAAATAACAAAAGAAGTAGTACTGTGGTGAGAGCTGGCTGCTAGCCAAATCGTTAGATAATAACTTACATCAATGTTTGCGTCCTCAATAGTGGTCGTGAGGATAGAACAAGAACAAAGACTGACTCAACAACCAATCACAGCACACTTTGCATAGGCGGATACAATTCGCAGATAGATAATCTGAACTTCAAGAAACGGCCACAAAGAGAGGAAAGACTAACTTTCTGTGAGAAACAACCAATCAGAAGACTGTGTTTTTCTCCTAACAATAATCTATAATAATGTAGATGAGAATCTATAAATATGTGTTGATTTCCTTAATAAACGATCTGTTTCCTGGTCCTTGTCTTCTGTTGTTACAGTACTAGTAATACGGACGCCGTAGTAGTTAAATACCACCCCATAGTTGTAGTATTCAGTGAAACAGAGACTTTATTATAAATTATAGCAAACTGGCTTTCAGTTTCGCTGTTGGTAGTCAATTTCATGCACTGGTTTGATAAATCATAAGTGTTACGCATAAAAATCGAAACTACTTATCTGACATTCATGAATTCGAAGTCAGTATGGATAGTAATGTCCATTTAGTACCTTTAAAATAAATGGGTGTAACCCTGAACTAACTTGTATTTTACTAAATCTGTTAACTCAATACAAACATTAGGGTTAATTATTAAGCATAGTAATTGAAATGATTTATGAAATGGCTGACCTACAAAACCACACCAAAGTTTATGCTGACTGGTCACTGACGCGTGACCACTGTATTATGTGTCCAGAAATATTATTTTTTCCTACGGATACACTAATGTACTTTATGTCCCTCTTTTAAGTGAATACGAGCAGTTTCTTATTGGTTTGTCTGTGTATCTCCTTATGTAACTGAATGCGTTCACGGGTTATTTACCGTCGCCATATTGCTAGATCAGTCCTTTCGGTCGTCGTAATTTAACATAACTGTATCATCAGTTTACAAGACAACAAAGTGAGCGAGGAATTGTTTAGTTCTCAACTAGACAGCATTATTCGTAAAATATGCAATTCACCAGTCTAGAAGTAATAACTTTGTTATACTCTCTTTTCATTGCCAAATCGATTTTGCATTCGAGAAATAAGAATAAACTACTGAATTTTGCCTCTTCTGTAAGCGTCAACCAGTTTGGCTGCTCCTGTGCAGTTACTTATATCGGGTGTATAAATAGGCATGTTCATCATAGGATTTCTGAACATCATCCTGCATGGTTGAATAGGGAGTAAGTAAAGTCGATTCGTGTCTCTTTTGTAGCATACTTTGTCCATATTGGTTATAGTATCGATATTAAGAGACGTTTACACTTATTTTTCGTATCCCTACTAATTTTGATCACTTCACGAGTTTCTCTCTCATATACAACAGATGTCTTCACAATCCACTTGAAGAAGCTAAACCTGTATGCTCAAACGACATTCGCATAGCGATTTTTTTTTACCTTGGACACCTTTATATGAATGGAAAAACTAACCATTTCTCCCTCACCCTATACTGTTTTACAAGTTATTATGACTTAATTGTTACATAAACCAGCCTACTTCATCTTCGAATGTTCATATTGTAATCCACACGTCAAGAAAAGTGTTACCAGCCGGCTGCAGACTTTTATCAACAGCTGTCTTCGCAGGCTTCATACTGAAGATCAAATGGCCGGTCAAAAAGGATGAGCAGCAAGAAACTCTAGAAACGAATCAACCCAGAATCTATTGTTCAAAAATATGCCCAAGACAAGGGAGATGGATCGGGCACACGATGAGGAGATGGTCAAACGACACCGTACCCCAGTTCCTCGGGTGGAACCCGAGTAGGAAACAAGTTAGGCGTCCGAGGATGGCATGGAGGAGATTGTGTGAATAGGAGCTGAATGTCTATGAGCAGTTGTGGAGCCATCTAAACAATACCATAGAGGAGGAAAGGGATAAAATGGAAATGTGCTGTTGAAGCCTTATGTTCTACCCGGAACTCAAGGGGATAATAATATGTAAGTCGTTTTGGTAATTTGACCACTCATTGATTTTTCTCACTTCCCAACATATATATGCATTGTGTAATGAACTGCTTCCATTTTCACAAATTTGTTTAACTTTCAGTTGTTGAACTGACTTTACAGGTCGATTATCACCCCTTTGATATTGACCAGTTAATGTTAACAAACTTATGCACTGGGATGAGAAAATGTTTACATATATTAACGTATTGTTTTAGGTAATGAGATGCGAGAAAATAGTGAAGTTACATTCAGCGAGAATATCACTTGGTTAGAGCAGCTGACGTTATCAATACAGTTAGCAAATGTAAAGGACCAGTGACATCAAAATGCTCAGCACTAGATTTTATCAGTCGAAACTCTTTCTTTATTCAAAAATTTATCATATATAACCTTATTTAGGCCTTTCCCCTTTGACAATTAACACAAATTTCATAAAAATTAATATTAAACTCTCCCATTCCCATTAAAATGACAGATTTTTGATGAATTTGACCATTACTCCATATAGTCATTATTCAGGTCTTAATGAATTCTCACACGAAAATTTCTTCCATAGTATCACAACTGTCAGTGATAACCAGTGAATTAACTCTCACGGCTTATTAAAATTATTTTTGGTTCACCATGATGGTGAATTAATCTCATTGAGATAAAAATACAGAATTCACGTAGAAGGATATGAGTTGTTACTATGTGCAGGACTCTTATTTTCAATCACATGACAAGGTATCTCTAACTTCTACACAAACTTTCATTGGTATTCTGGTTGGATTTATCTACGATTATTTGTCAAGAGAGAAGTAAAGAAATCGCGTGTTATGTATCGCTTAGTATTCTGGATTAGGATACATGTTCTCTTCAACACAATCAGTCCAAAACACTAAACAGTCTGGGAGAAAGTGAGACTCAGACATCTTTTAATAAGACTAAACCATGAAGCTTCGCGAATCTCATTTCAGAATCTTCTGAGATGAAGTTACACTCAGCGAGAATATCACTTGGTTAGAGCTGTAGACCCGCAAAGTGCAAATCACAGTGGAATTCATTTAGCATTAGCAGCAAAACAAACTGCATCACCATATCTTCTTTTCTGATGCACATCGCCATAGTCTTTCCGAAACCATTTGTGGTGGTGTGATACAGGCAATTTGTTCAAATGGAATATTATTCTCACATATTCCCACAATTCAATTTGGCATTAGTATAAGAATATGATATATCTATGTGAACATTCTGTTTGTTGCCCGAGTCAGAATACTATTCTCGCAGTTCAGTACTGCAGTAACAACAGAATACCATATAAACAGAGGTCTGATCAATGGAAAATATACCTTGGCCCTCGTGGTATGCCATCTGTTGTTACACATCTAACTAGCGAAACCTCTCTTTGGTTCAGTACACCTCTCACCAGGAATCACAACGTTGAAACCCAGCTCAGTAATAAAAGTTACCAAGTAGTTTCATAGTAACTTACGGAAGATTAAATTAAAATTAAATTTTTGATTACAGCTTAATGCCACACTGTATTTTTGGTACAAGTATGGAATTTTCAGCATGGATATCAGTAGCCCAAATATCTCAGGTCGACCATAGATATCAGGTGTGCGTCGGCAGGGGATCTAACCTCGGACCATGTGCTTGGTCGGCGAAAGTCCTAACCACTGTAACACCGACGCAGTATATCGAAGCTCTATGCCATATGTTCCCTGTTGCCATAGTTTTAATGAAAATTTGGTTAATGACTGACGTTTATCACAACAATTCGGGTATAGATTGGCAGGATAAAACCGTCTACGAAATGCTGAGAAATCAAGGAGAGTGATAGAGTATCCTCAGTAAAACAGCAGCCAATTAAAATCCGGAATGACCATCAATAAATAGGCTGTTGTGATTAGATTTCAGTAATCATTTTAATCCTACCGTATTAAAAGTCACACTGGAACGATTCATTCGTTTCAGATGAGGCAAAGTTGACAATCATTTAAAATAGGCAACACAACAAACACCCTTGGAAACGACCATAATATTGCTGCAGTCATTAAATCAACAAACACTTCTTAAATGCTATCAAGAAAGCTAGCAATTATGAAAACATCAGAGACGCCGCAACTTGAGGGATGGTTAGCAAACACGTCTTAACTGGACTACTCTCATTCTAATAGTCACCGGAGAATATAGAATCCCTACATTCAACTGATAGTACTGTGGTGAGGGTTGACTGCTAACCAAAACTGGTAGATAGTAATTTAACGTCAATGTTTACGTCCCCAATATTGGTCATGAGAAAAGAACAAGAACAAAGACTGACTCAACAACCAATCACAGCACACTTTGCATAGGCGGATACAATTCGCAGATAGATAATCTGAACTTCAATAAACGGCCACAAAGAGAGGAAAGACTAACTTTCTGTGAGAAACAACCAATCAGAAGACTGTGTTTTTCTCCTAACAATAATCTATAATAATGTACATGAAAATCTATAAATATGTGTTGATTTCCTAAATAAACGATCTGTTTCCTGGTCCTTGTCTTCTGTTGTTACAATAGTACATCATATTAACATGATGACATAGATGTTTGCTTTCTCAACATATGGATTATTAGAGGTGTGTGTGTGTGTTTGCAAAGAACGAAATCGAACCTAGCACACAAAAGTAGCTGAAAATGCACTATTATACCATCAAAAAGTGTGCCGGTGGCACAGCGGTTAGGACGCTCGCCAACCATGCACATAGTCCTCCGGGCCGACGAACTCCTTTACCTCGCTACACCAATAATGAGACTGATAAAGAGGAAAGATTGGGAATGAGGCTAGCAACCGCATTCTGTAAAATTAAACACTTCTACAGAAACTTCAAGGCACTAGCTTGAGGCCCTATGTCCCGCTGGGAACGTGAAGGAAAAAAGAAAATACCATCAAAAATGTATTCGTTTATATTACAAATATTATTTTCATTACTAGTATTACTTTTAAAATCATATCCTGTAAAACCTAACGTGTGTAAATAATACAGATTTGCAAAAGGGCTTTGAATGTACAGTTACGTTAATCATAAAAACAAACTAATAATATTACTGAAAGAATCACAGGAGGATATGACGATATGGAATGAACTGGAAACAAAACCTTTGAAAAAACAAAGAAAGAAATTAGCTGCCAACTGAGCATTAGAATGCAATAAAAATGTCAGTTTAATAAGTATCCTTTTCATCATCATTACAATTAAAAGCGTGAAAAAGTTTCCTTAGAGCTTCTTCTTTACCTTCAAATATGTTAAATTTATTTCCAATCCTTTTCAGTCGATAAAGAAGCTGATGTGCTACTTTGATTTCATTATCCAATAAACAATCAACAGCTACAGGGAATTGTTTAGATTTTTGAAAATTTCTAAGTATCCTAAATACTTGACAGATTATATGATAACTATTGTTGTCATCTGATGTTGGTGGTGATGATGATGATACGTTATCTGCCTGAATCAGTGCATGATCCAGTATTGTCAGCACATCAGGTAAAAAAGAGACACCTAATCCAGTATGAAAAAGGCTTTCCATTAATTCATCTTTTTGATTAAATAATAACTCGAATAAATAGCTATGCCTATCATTATCATCAGTCAATACGGGGGATGATTTAATCTGACGCCAGTGGGATAGAAATTCTTGTGGAGTTGTACATGTTTTTGTATTCTATAAATGAAAACAAAAAAGAAAAGAAAAAGAAGTTATAGATTAATATAAGGCAATTTTGTGCGTCGGTGGCATAGCGGTTAGGATGCTCGCCGACCATGCACACGGTCTGGGATTCCATCCCTAGCCGACGAACTCCTTTACGTCGCTAAGCCAGAAATAATGCCGGTAAAGAGGAGAGGTTGGGCATGAGGCTAGCAAACCCATCCTGGAAAATAAACACCACTGCTACAGAAACTTCAAGCCTTCTAGCTTGAAGCCCTATATTCCACTGGAGAACGTGAAGGAAAATAAAATAAGGCAATTTTAATGATAACATTAGGTTAGAAAGACTAAGGTGTATAAAAATTCACCCTATGTAGTACTAACTGATTCACGTAAGTAGCTGAATGCTACTCACCCCAACTAGTAGTGTCTGTTAGCCAGATCGAGAAGTGATCAAAACACCAGACAGTCGTTTCACTCATTTGGAGCTGAATATACTACACATTATACATTATTTTTCAATTTATTCCTTTGCTTTCTTAGTGGAACGTAGGGCTTCAAGCTTGAGCTTTGAAGGTGCAATAGCTTTGGTGATTTTTTTACGGGGTGGAGTTACTAGCTTCATGCCCAACCTTCCACTCTCTGTTGGATTTACAACCGGTTAAGAGAGGTAAAAGTGTGTGTCGGTTGGGGATCGAACCATGGGCCACCTCTACCTGCATGGTTGGCGAGCATCCTACCGCTTAACCTAATGTTGACTAACAAAACTGTTTGATTACTATACATTAAGGGGGGGAAGGGGAAAACCAATCACATTTATCAAGTGTTCTGTAATTATGTTTGCAATAAAGTAACATAAATATAAGTCGAAGTGAAGACACATCTATAACAAATACATGAATTACATGAATATTTCAGAGTCACCCAGCATTTAACAGATACGTTAATGATTAGAAAACATCTACTTATATTTTGATACTAATTAGGGTTTTATCATCCAAAACTATTTCTTTCGACAGATAACAACTGATAAAGTAAGAATATTTAAATTAAACCAAATTCAGTTAGGAGCGAAATTCTATTTCAGAATATTCACATTTTGAGGAGTAAATGAATAAAACCAAATAGACCAAACGACATTGCCCGTTGATCTGCTGAAGCCCAAGGGACAAGATCTCGCACCTGACCACTTTTGTGTGTATATATCAGTTCACCTGTTGCTGTGGAGCGCCAGTTACATCAGTCGTTCAGTGTCAAAGAACACTGTCCAGTGTGGCTGCAGAAAGGAAGTAGTGGTCGTATAAGGAGTGCAATAATCGAACATCTCGTCATCACAACAGGTCATTCCATCTCAACAAATGCCTCCTTCAAATTAATCTAAAAAGTGAAGAACAACCTGCCAAAGACAATACATTTACGTCTTCTTTGCACTGCAGAAGCCCTAGCCATTCAGTTAGAAGAACTAGAACTAAGCATACAAAAGAAAATTATTCAGACACTCCTACTATCATAGTAACAACTCTGTTGATCCGACCTAAATTTTGCTTGATTTTCTAACTACTTAAAACTCTTACGTAATTCCGTATTCTATTTTCTTAACATGTTCACCCAGAGAACAAATATTTCATCAAACCATTCATGTTATTACGTGACTCTTCTTTAACAATCGTTTGTGACAACTCATCACTTTTGTTACTACCTTCTTATATCAACGTCCGATTCCTCTGAATACTTCTTGTATTACGTAACTCCATCAAAAAATTACTAGTTGTATTTTCGTTTGACAAAGTTAATGTGCACACACACACACACACAAAATAACCATATATATATATATATATATATATATATATATGCGATTGTACAGCTGTGAAAATGAATTCGCTGAACTACTGGTCTTCTGTCTATTAATAATCGATTGGGGATTTTTCATGAACATTCAATATGTCTTTAGAACACAGTTGTTTCTCAAGTGCTGGTTCGCAGCGATATTTCATATTATTCTGTTTATCAGATATATCACACAGGGAAATAGTACTATTTACTGGATGACGTTTGGAATACAATTTATTATTCGTAATCATATCAGTCATATTGGTTGATTACTAACTGACTTGGTTTAGAGAACCATTGAAAACTAAGGAGCACCAGAGATCCGTTTCTTTCTTATTTGGGCCCATTCATAAGTACGTGACACCAACAGGGACCAAACCCATGACCTTCAGGTTATAAGACGAGCTCGTATACTTGTTTAACCACTAAGATGCAATCCAATGGTCTGTAAATTCTAACTTATGCCTATTTGTGATATATAGTACAACCGCCAGTCAATATCATCAGTGAATATTTTTTCCTCAGGCCGAACTTGTTTTTGAGGTTTTTATAATTGCACTGATATTTTAGTGCTAATACGAACATTTATTTATCGGATTATTTCAAAGGAGTGAAATTCGGTTAGATAGCTAATTGCTTCCACAAAAATGTAAGGATACAGAAGGCTCGTTTCGCATATGCCAGTTTACGCCATCTCTGGCATAGACGTGATATCCGGCTGGCTATCGACCAAACAGCGTGTGTACTGCTCAGCAGTCCGCTTCGTCCTCCTTCATGGCTGTGAGACATGGCCATTGAAAGTAGAAAACATGAAAATCTTGGCTAGCTGTCTTTGATCATAGGTGCCTGCGTTCTATCTCCAGTGTGAAATGGTATAATAAAGTGAGCAATATTGAAGTTAGGCATCGAGTGCTAGGTAAGGAGAAGAAATCGATAGATGAGGCTGTAAAGTTACATCGATTGAGGTGGTTAGGACATGTGTTACGCATGCCTAGCCATCGCCTTCCTGGTGGTCAAACCAAAGCATGGCTTCATCAGTCAATTAAATCCACAACAGTTAGTTCAAGCTAGTCACTTAGGGAGGCGTAGACTTTCTGGTTGGGGTCCTCGGGATGGTAAAAACCAACACAGGCCTACCAATCTTATTACTGTCTTGGCGAAGTAAAGGAGTGCATTGGCCAGGGATAGAACCCCAGACCGTAGGCTTGGTCGGCGAGCATCCCACAACTGTGCTACCGACGCAGTGTAAACTGATGTGATGTGGATGAAAGAAATCACCAGGATGCCATAAATCTAAATTTCATGCTTGGTAACATCCGAATAACACTAAACTCTAGATAAAACCACATTGATTACTTCCAAGTAACGCAAAACCATTTTAATACAACGATAAAACCCAATGCTTATTTGCACACATTCTAATGAGGGCTAATCAACTAACGAAAGCAGCTCCTTCAATGATTCCCTTTTCTTTCTTGATTAGTGGTGCTTAAATAGGTGAAAGAAATTTCTATGGATAATAAATATACAAGTGAATAGGCTTACTGCGAACTATTATACTACTTAAATAAGCATTCAAATTTCAAACGCTGAATGACCTAATTTGAACTTTATACAACATACCTCATTTCGGGTATCAAAATGGTACCATTAACCTTTGCATAATAGGTGTGACGCAGTGCTGAATAAATCAACATGCATAGGGTTGTTAAGTCACATTTCATTTTTCTTTGATTTTAATTTCAGATGGGAAAGAAACTTTTCATGTGATACCAGCTGAGAATGTTATTACGTCTAGAAGACGGTCGTTCAACATATTTCTGATGCTCAAAACTCTCGATGAAGACATCATCAAAAATATATTGTTTGAGACTGTTAATATGCCCGTCTTACTGCATACAGATATATGGCGCTGTGACTTATTTGCTCGACTTTCGTCGCCTCAAATCCTTCTCCATTTAATTTTGTCTAGGCACTTGGGTAGTTTAATCACTTCTCTTAAACAATCAGTTTAGCTTATAGCACGGTTGATGAAAAATATTTATGTGAGTTACCAAATTCAACTTATATGAAAAAAAACGACCAATTAAAATAAACAACTAGGCTATCTATTACTAATATATGTGTGAAACTTGGGCACTGTGTTGGTAGGTAATTTCATATTAGTTTCTTTATTAGATGTATCACACAGTGAAACAGTATTATCCGCTGGATGACGTTTCGAACAAAATTTATTGTTCATAATCATCTCATCAATTGTAATCACACGACTTCGAAACCTGAGTTTTATAGTTTTCTTTCTTTTCTCCTATTCATCGTCGTTGGGGTAGTAGAATTTTCGAGATATCCAACTGGACAGGCGTTAAATCATTCCTATTACACGTGTTGATTTGCAGTTGATTCGATAAACAAAGCTTCCATTATCAATCACTCCCTTCACCCTGTGACATTAGATTTTAAAACTATCATCCAATCTCATCCTATTGTATGGTTGTGTGTAACTGCATGTACTGCTGCTATAGCTGAACACTTCTCTAGATTTCTTATCTTATTTGGGTCAACCAATCTAGATTTTGCTAGGTTTTTATGTTCGGCTAGTCTGACTCACTGACCCTGTTCTACTAGTTCGACTTACGTATTTGACTTGGCAGTCATTGCAGACAGGGTATTAGATGAACTAAATTGTTTTGTTTCAAAGGCTCCACAGGATTGATCCTTTAACCGACAAAGCTTGTTTCTAATTGAGTTTGTGGGTGGTTTGAACGCCAACCACTTTTATTCTTTCCTTGTTAAGAATTCTGCGTGAGATTTCCGAGTTTCCTTCCTTGTATGGAATTACTACTGATGATTTAGATTCCTTATTGTTGGTGTTGTCATTATCTTGAGCATGTTTGACATGCATGTCGTCATTAATATTACTATTATTATTATTATCATCACAACTATCACTACTATAATTATTTATTTTAATTTTACATTTCTTTACATACTTTCTGACTAATTTATCAGGGTAATTATTAAGTTTCAAAGCTTCTCTTATATGCCTCACTTCCTGTCTTAGATTTTCCTTGGTACTACTTAGTTTTTGTACACTATTACTTAAACATTTCACCAATCCTATTTTTACTGACATAGGATGGGATGATCGGAAGTCCAAATATCTGTTTGAATGTGTAGGTTCTCTGTAAACACCACTGTTTACCAAATGTAGTGTTAATTATTCTCATTATTCCTATTCTTAACTCATCTATCATTTCATTGATTTCAATTGGCCTTTTATTTCTCATATAAATTGACTTGATAAGTAAATGTCTGATCAGACTATTTGGAAATGTATTGTGCAAATATAATTTTTTTTCTTCTGATAAACACCTAAAAGCAACAAGGAAATGAGAAGCTCATATAAAAACACATGACTGACAACGTAATGTCAACCATGAGCACATGAGTTTGTTACACAACGAAGCCTATTTAACTCATACAATTCAGTTCCTCACTCAATCATTTGGATCACAAATGAGTGAAAAATGATATTGTGAAAAAAATACAACACAGACACGTTATTTAACATATCAGCATGCTTTCAAATCACAATGAACTATGCGAGTGTAATCAAAGTGTATGTGTTGTGTGTGTGCTACTGACACGATTTTGTAAGTAGTATGTTGTGTGTGATATCTTCTGCAAGAATATTGAATGGTGGAATGATGGATAAAGTCACAGAGAAGAGAGATGAAATATCCTTTTCAGAAAATATGGGAGGCATAAAAGGAAGACTAAGAAAGCGACATGCAAAGAACAAGTGTAAATGGAGGTTTCATGGCGGTTAGGACGCTCGCCGACCATGCACGTGGTCCGGGGTTCGATCCCCGGTCGGCGAACTCCTTTACCTCGTTAAGTCAGAAATAATAATTCTGGTAAAGAGGAAAGGTTGGGCATGAGGCTAGCAACCTGATCCCGTGAAACAAACACTGCTACAGAAACTTCAAGCCACTAGCTTGAAGCTCTATGTTCCACTAGGGACCACTATGTTCCACCCGACCGAAAGCTGCTACCTTGACGTGGTGGTCGGGCTTGAACACCGCAATGACCTAATCAAGCTATACTGGCTGAGACTTATGTCTCTTGAGGTTCTACCATGCCAGGCAGGTTGTTTGGATAGCGGTTAAACAAAAAGCAGCTACCCAATCCAACATCATGTCCAATACAAAATTACAAAATTTCATGCCGGATCGGCCGTGGCCCGGATTAACAACGACCGCGCTTCCTGCTGCCGTGTCACAGGGCGGGAGTGATAAATCTGCTACTGAGACACACAAAACAAAAAGAACAAACAAAAACAGGCCGCGTGTGACCGGCCTCAAGCAGTTGTCCCCTGGGCTCTGCGGTCACGCAACCAACTTCCACGGTGTGGGCAGCCGGGAAGTAACAATCGCCCTCACAATCCGAAATGCACACGAAACCTCTCTATTACTCACTCATCTTTGTCTTCATCTTCATCTCTATCATCTTGCCTTCCTTCCACTGATGCAACTCCTCGACTTGATAGCTCTCCACTTCCTCTCCACTCTGCGTCCACTAAAAACGATGGAAGCCAAAAAACCACCACCGACAGCCTCTTAAAGCCGCGCCACCAATTTCATATAGGAGCTCTTAATGTTAGGACACTTTGCCAAATAGGACAACAAGCATCACTAGCCAAGACCCTGGCATCACGAGCCATTGATGTATGCTGTGTTTCAGAAACACGCATACAAGACCCAAGTGTGGTTATTCACCTAACCCCACCTGGCCAACAGGTTGAATCTGCAAAATTCACCTTGAGGGTGTCAGGAGATGCCACAGCTAGTTCACGAGGATTAGCTGGCGTAGGGATAGCTTTGAGTACTAGGGCAGAAAAGACATTGCTTGACTGGATCCCGGTAGATAGCCGAATGTGTGCTGTCCGCCTGAACGGATCAGTAAGAAGGAGGAAGGACTGCACTACTCGCCGATGCCTTTTCGTAATCTCCGCCTACGCCCCCACTGACTGCAGTTCAGATGAAACGAAGGATGAGTTCTACCAAAAGCTGTCTAGTTTGGTGAGAAAGGCTAAACGCTCAGACATAGTCGTTCTAGCTGGTGACTTTAACGCTCAAGTAGGGAAATTGTGTCAATCTGAGAAGGATGTCGGTGGCACCTATGGAGTTCCGTGCCAGCGAACCGACAACGGTGACCGTCTCCTACAGTTCTGCTCTGATAATCATTTGTTTCTTGTAAGCACTAACTTCAAACACAAGGAGAGACACTGTTTGACTTGGAGACCCCCTTCATCAAACCAACGCTGGACACAAATAGACCACATAGCAATAAGCTATCGTTGGCGTGGGTCGGTAGGAGATTGTCGCTCCTTCTGGAACACGTGCGTAGATACCGACCATGCACTGGTCCGCGCTCGGGTGTGCTTACGACTGAACGGACGTAGGAAACAGCTGGCGGTAAAACCATCACGTCCCCAGCTCGATCAGGAAACTAAATCCGTATTTGAGGAAGAACTAGCTAAACACATATCTGTGTTCGACAGCTGTGCTCACCCTGAAGAAGCTTGGAAAAATATCCAGGCAGCCATAGATACAGCTGTAAAAGCTGTGAATAAGGTAAACCCAAAGGTGAGTAAAAACCACTGGATCTCCACCGCCTCATCCGAACTGATAGATGCTAGAAGACTTATTCCGGCGAGCTCCGAATTCAATGAGGAGCGAAAGCTGCACAAGAGGAAACTTACGAAAAGTCTCCGCAAGGACCGTGAACAGTGGTGGGCGACAAAAGCCAAAGAGATGGAGAAAGCTTCGAGGATAGGCAACACCAGGCAACTCTTTGGACTCATCAGGGAAACGGGTGGGAGAAGACAAATCATTAGTGAGACAATCTCGGAAAAAAATGGCACTATAATTAGCTCACAGGATAGACGACTGGATCGTTGGAAAGAGCATTATGAGGAGCAGTTTAATTTGCCCACAGCCACGCTCAACCTTCCGAGCATCCAACACCTCCCTGAATGGGATATAGATACAGGTCCTCCGTCACTAACTGAGGTTACTAAAGCTGTCACCAATCTGAAACTAGGCAAAGCAGCGGGACCTGATGGAATGACTCCAGAGGTATTTAAGTACGGTGGAGACAGCTTACTGTCCGGATTAACTGAGGTACTAGGCAGCGTCTGGGAATCAGAAGAAGTCCCATCGGGTTGGTGTAAGTCACTGATTATCCCCATATACAAGAAGGGAGACAAGTCTTCCTGTGATAATCACAGAGGGATTAGCTTGACTAATATAGTATCTAAAGTCTTAGGCTCAATAATCATGCGTAGACTGAGTGGTGCTCGGGAAGCACAAACACGAGAGAGCCAGGCAGGCTTTAGACCAGGAAGAGGGTGTATTGATCATATCTTCACCCTCCGACAGATTCTAGAACATAGGCATTCCTACCGGCGTCCAACAGTCATTATATTTCTTGACCTAAAGGCAGCATTCGACTCTGTCGATCGGGAAGTTCTCTGGAGATGCTTGGCTGTAAAGGGAATTCCGAGAAAATATATTGCACTGATTAAGGCACTCTATTCGTACTCATACAGCCAGGTGAGGGCTTACGGCGAGCTGTCATCTGAACTGATGACGACCAGTGGTGTCCGTCAAGGATGCCCATTATCTCCTTTTCTATTCAACTTCATCATAGATGTGTTAATGGACTTAACCCTAGGTGACTTCAGCGATTCAGGGATTGACTTGCTACCTGGGAATAATCTCGTTGACTTGGAATATGCAGACGATATAGTCCTTCTAGGCGAAGACGCTGACGAAATGCAGAGTCTTCTAAACACCTTGAGCCGCAATCTACGAATGTTTGGCATGCGATTCGCTCCCGCCAAATGCAAGATGATGTTACAGGACTGGACTACATCGACGCCTAGTTTAAAAATAGGAAGTGAAGTGGTAGAGCACGTTGACCGCTTCACTTATTTGGGAAGTACCATCAGCCCCAACGGGCTGATCTCTGACGAAATCTCAGCACGAATACAAGGGGCTCGTTTCGCATTTGTTAGTTTACGCCGACTCTGGCGTAGACGAGATGTTCGACTATCGACCAAAGGGCGGGTGTACTGCTCATCAGTCCGCTCCGTCCTCCTTTATGGTTGTGAGACCTGGCCACTGAGAGTGGAAGACATGAAAAGACTAGCTGTCTTTGATCATAGGTGCCTGCGTTCTATTTCCCGTGTAAAGTGGCATAATAAGGTGAGCAACATGGAGGTTAGGCGTAGAGTTCTAGGTAAACAGGGGAAATCAATCGACGAAGTCGTGAAGCTACATCGACTGAGATGGTTAGGACATGTGTTACGTATGCCAAGCCATCGCCTCCCTCGACGAGCAATGTTAGCGGATATAGGGTCAGGCTGGAAAAAAGCTAGCGGCGGTCAAACAAAAACTTGGCATCAGTCAATGAAATCCACAACAGTTGGTCTAAGCCACGTAGGAAGGTGTAGACTTCCAGGCTGGGGTCCTCGGGACGGTAAAAATCTATGGTTGGAAACAATTGGTGACATGGCTCAAAATCGTTCTCAGTGGCGCAGATGCATCCACTCCCTGTGACTTATGATCTCCAATGAAACTGTTTTGTATTTCTTTATTACTCCTTTGTCTCACACCTCTGCTCACTGTTTCTATTTGCTTTTCTTGTACTTTCTTCTCTTGCTTCGCGTGCTACACGGAATGTGGCGACTTGAACTTCCGCACATTTGTGCAAAGTTCTATGTCGAAAACAGACAGACAGACTAGGGAACGTGGCGGGAAAAAAAGTACAATTTATGCATTTTGATAAGTAAACATATCTACTACACCAAACAGTCACTTGTTCTGCCGTTTTATCTGAACTTACTATGCTTGAGTTTGACTTCGGTTCAAAAGATGTGGTACTGTTATTCACTAGCGTAGCAGAATAATTCCAAGAGGACTTTTTACTAGAAGAATTAATCAGTTCTGATCGCTCTAAAGGTTTCAAATGGCATCCAGCGACCAACTCCCTGCAGAAAATAGGAATAATGTTACTTTACGAATGTTCAATTAAATGGTTAAAACTCACTTTAGAATGAAAACAGTACTAAATGGAAAAATTAAAAATAATACATATGTTTTATTCCTGAAGCAATTTAGAACAAAACTATTCGACTTATGCTTACCGTTGGAGTGATTTTTCACTATTTAGGTTATGCATTATGGGCATGCGTGACATTATTTGTTTTCCGTAGACAACACTAGATCACATTTTTTTTTGATTGCATACTAGTCAGTAACTAGTGTAATGTGTCTAGTCCTATCTTCGCTGCAGACTGAATTCTATCAGTTAAGCTTGCAATGTGGCCAATGTGGTTCAAGGCCCAGGTTCATATCAACAATTCACAATGCACCGTGATGGCGAGTCACCTAGCATGGTGGCCACATTGCAAGCCTGGCTGATAGAATTCAGTCTGCGCCTAAGAGAGGACTAGACACATCACACTAGTTACTAATGTCAAATCAAAATATCCACCGCAGTCCTACAAAAGGTCAATCACGAGCCCGAATAGCTCAGTGGTAACGTGTTTGACTGCAGTACTGGGTGACGCGGGTTCGAATCTCAGAAGAGATATGAGTTCCTTGAAGGTTGAAGATACTCCTTGATGATGAGTGCCAACTAGCAGGAAACCTAGATCGAGTAAGGCTTCCTGTGGTTGGTTGCCTCCAACCATCTAATACTAGATCACAATGTTATTTCATTAATGTTCAGATCGTTTGCATCTTATGTGAAGTGATTTGTGCTGTAAAATGTCGTATATATTAATGTAATATAAGAGACTCTTAGTATCCATTCGCTATTAATCAGACACCAAAACCCGCTAAGTTTTAAAACGGCTGGTTTACAAGGAATTAGGAAGTATAATTACACAGGCTTTACAACTGTAGCCATGCTGTATACTCGTGATTCATACTTTGATATGATTGTGTTCTCTGAGACGGATGGTTTGATTGTGAAGTTCTTCATTGTCCCCTCAGACAACATCTTCAGAGCAAACTTCTTTATAAAGTGAACTTATTTGAATGCTACAAGAATGAATGATATAATTGTAACTCCTGACAACCTTTGACGACATTGGTCGTTAATTTGATAAGAAACTCCATTCTTTTGAGATTTGTACGAATCAGATATGAATATAACAGGGTCCCGAAAAATATGCACCAGTGACACATTGATGGATGAGTTTCGACATATACATTCAGTCTTATTAGCTAATGGTTATCCAGAAAACTTTATCACTTGTTACAGTGAAGAAACATCACATCTCGAAAAGACAGCTTCTGTACAAAAGAAAGCTATCTTTATTAATTTACCATTCAAGGGTGACCAGATTATGCAGTTGACAGCTAGCTCAAAAACTTCGGTCAGCCATCAAACGCACATTATACACCGCCACATCTCTTTTTCTCACTTGCCGAACATTTTCGATCCCTGTACCTACGATTAAAGGACGAAATTCCGGGGACTCCACTTCAGACTATATCTACAAGTTCACCTGCAGCTGCGGTGATACCTATATAGTTAGAACCAACAGAATGTTCCAATGTCGTCGAAAAAAACATGTTCCAAAATGGCTACTAAATCATATAAAAAATCCCAATGCGATTAATCTGAATAGAAATCCAGCATCATCCACTGCAAAACACTTATTAATGTCAGTCACAAAATCAATATTAATGACTGCTTCACAATTATTTCACATAACTCTAATTCAAGGTTATTAAAGGTGATGATCGAAGCACTTTGCACTAATCACAAATAACCTAAACTGTGTGTACAGAAAGCAGTAGACTTCAGTCTTCGCCAACCAAGGACTACTCGACATATTTAAATATGATTGGTCATTAGTATGTACTTCTGTTTCATATAACTGAGTAATTGTCATGTATTTTCTTTTATTATTGTTAACCATGTTAGTCAGATTGCAGACATTTATCAACAACTGTCTTCGCTGGATCTATACTGAAAATCATATCAGATGGCCGCAAAGAATCACCAACAAGAAACTATGGCTGGGAACAAACAAAACAAGAACCAATCGCCCAACAAATGTGCAGGAGAAGGTGGAGATGGATTGGACACTCGCTGCGGAGGCCGCTGGGTGACATCGCGCGCGCGTCAGGCCATTGCTCGAGTGGAACCAGGCCGAAAGGGAAGTGGCGAGTGGGACGTCAGTGGAAGGCTGACATAGAGATCGTGTGAAGAGGAGTTGAAACAGTATGGACTAATATGGATGCAGTTGAAAAGTACATTAGAAGACAGAGCAAGTGTAGACGTGCAGTTGAAGCCCTATGTTCCACTAGGAAACCAAGGGAACAATAATATAATAATAACCACGTTAGTTGTAAAGCGGTTGTAAAGAAACTACGAAATGACATCATATCGCGAAATTTGTCTTCTAAATGCCTTATTCAAATAAATAGATAAACAAAACTTGAAAATACCAATTGTCTTATATAATAAATATACACACAGAATTTAAAACTAAAAACAACACCCGACAGACTTGAAATCATCATATGTCGGAACACCTTGTTGAACAGCTCTAATTTTAGCATCATTTTCAATCCAATATCTAGATTCTTTTACAACAGCTGAATTCATTTCTCTTTCCAAGTTGTGCATATTTATACCCAAGCGTTTCAGATAGTCATCATTAGTTTCAACCATCTTCAAGGAATTCTACTCCTTTCACAAGGAAGAAAAAATATAATAAAAAAGTAGTAAGTGATGATTATGAAATTTTTAAAAATAACTGACATACTTATTTTCAGTGTAGTGAAGAAGTTTGAGTAACTGTTGAAGTAGCCAGTATATATTTTCAAGCACAGGTTCAATTTTTCGCATACAAATATATGTGTAAAACTTGGGCACTGTGGTAGTAAGTAATTCCATATTAGTTTGTTTATTAGATATATCACACAGTGAAACAGTATTATTTACTGAATGACGTTTCGAACAAAATTTATTGTTCATAATCATTTCATCAATTATAATCACACGACTTTGAAACTTGAGTTTTATAGTTTCCTTTGTTTTCTCCTATTTATCGTGGGGGTGGCAGAATTGTCCAGATATCTGGAACAGCTATTAAATCATTCTGAGGTTCCTTGGTCGGAAACCTTACGAAGAATTCTTAACAAGGCAAGAATAAAAGTGGCTGGTATTCAAACCACCCACAAACTCAATTAGAAACAAGCTTTGTCGGTTAAAGGATCAATCCTGTGGAGCCTTTGAAACAAAACAATTTAGTTTATCTAATGCCGTGCCTTCGATGACTGCCAGGTCAAATACACAGGTCGAACTAGTAGAACAGGGTCAGTGAGTCAGACTAGCCGAGCATAAAAACCTAGCAAAATCAAGATTATTTGACCCGAATAAGATACGAAATCTAGAGAAGTGTTCAGCTATAGCAGCAGTACATGCAGTTACACACAACCATACAATCGGATGGGATAATAAGATGGCAGTTTTAAAATCTAATGTCACAGGGTGAAGGGAGTGATTGATAATGGAAGCTTTGTTTATCGAATCAACTGCAAATCAACACGTGTAATAGGAATGATTTAACGCCTGTCCAGATGGATATCTCGAAAATTCTACTACCCCAACGACGACAAATAGGAGAAAAGAAAGAAAACTATAAAACTCAAGTTTCGAAGTCGTGTGATTACAATTGATGAGATGATTATGAACAATAAATTTTGTTCGAAACTGTGTCATCCAGTAAATAATAATACTGTTTCACTGTGTGATACATCTAATAAACAGACTAATATGGAACTAATTGTTTGCAGTGAAAAAGACAATTAAGCAGTGAAGATCAGAATCCAATACGCATCCAAAAAAAAACTCAACTAACTAGTGGAGGTTTGGTTTATACAGTGACATTTTATTCTCAAACCAAAAACACCAATCAATCAATACTTTAATAACTAATGTCAGTATAATTTCCATTATTTATCAATTTATTTAGTCAGTAAGCACCTTTCATTGTTTAATATAACGCTGGATATAGAGATGGAAATTATGAGCGACGTTTTGTGCGAGAAAAGCAAATCAGTGGCTAAAACTTCGTGGATTTACGTGAATGATGACATGGTCAGAGCAAATCTTGAGGTATAAAAAAGAAACAAAGTGTGGAAATAGTTTTAGCATAGCTATCATAGTATGAAGTCATTGGGTTAAAGGATATGCATAAATACAACTTCCTTGGTAGGAAGCCACAGTTGCTGCTGGTCGTGCTGTACCACGAAATGACACACATGTAATTTTTTGTGGGTCATTGAATTCCGACTCAGAGGCTGAATAATAAACGTGTCTGACTTGTACTCTGTACGTTATGAGTTCGATTTCTGGTGGTGTCATTAGTATGATTTGCTAAACAGTTCCAGATTAGAGAAAAGCAGATGTTCAGTGGTCAATAGTTTCCAACGGCTTTTCTAACTCATAAAAATTTGTACCGCAATTAACATTGAATTGGATTCAATCCGAATATAAGACAAACAGATAATACAAACCAGTATACACATCAATTTTTAGGCAAAAAGGTGTTACTTTTCGAGAAGTGTTAAGAATCAGTAGTTGGAAACTCCCAATGATATGATTCTAAAACTTTATTTTATTAACTTCAAAATTCTAAAAGAATTCAACAATCTCTCCTACATTATTTCCCTTCTTATAGTTCCATGTAACAAGGGTAGTACAATTTAATTCTTTTTTGAGCCACGTAGGAAGGTGTGATTGGAGTTATCCGGATGGTAAGAATCAGTGGTTGGAAACTGTTAGTGGCATGGCTTAAAATTATTCACAACGATGCAGTTACATTCACTTCAGGTGATTTTGCAAATTCTGAAAATCCTGATTATTTTTCATGCAGATAGTTTTTCTCGTACACTTTCGTTGAATACAATTTTCTTTAGAGTAATCACTACTTTTATGAAGTGTGATAACTTGGTCTAATTTACTTTTATGTACCATTCCTGTTTTTAATTTTCAGTCAGTTGTTGTTTTTCATAACTGACAGACAGATTTATCTGGAGTTATGTTAAGCGATAACTTCATAAGAAAAAGATTTAAAAATACCCTCTGTCACAGAATAATTCTCTTGACTTTGATCAAAGCAACTTGTGGTTTTCGTACATCTCCATCAAGGGAAAGAGGACTAATGGGAGTTGTGTAATGACAACGACAATAACAAAAAGTGACTGGTTGGCTGATTATCATTCTATAGGCAACACTTTCTTTCTCCAAATCAATACACATATTACCTTGTTTTTACGAGTTGATCACGGATTGATAACAGTTAGAGAACCATTGAAAACAAGCCACATGGAGTACTGGACAGCCAGAGGTTTCATCCTAGTTTTAGGAATCATCGGAAGTACACATCCACCACATGGGTTAGAACCCAGGACCTCCAGGTTACAAGGAAAGCTGGCTCGTATACCATTCAGCCACTAAGACCCGATTCAATGGCCAGCCCATGAATTCTAACCTCTACCAATTCGTGATTTAGCAAGACCCCGACTAATGTCGTTGGTGGGACATCCATCCTCACACGTGACATCTAGATGAACCTCACTGGTCACGACTTCTCACTAGAACTCCAGGAAACTCCATCCTGTAGCAAGTCACCAGGAAGCATTAGATTAATTTCCTACAGCTTGGTTAGTAAGGATTAGTTTTGTTTTTATGATTTGATAACGGGTTTGGATCCTGGTGGTGGGTGCGTACTTCCGATGATTCCCAAAACTAGGATGAAACGGCTGGCTGTCCAGTACTCCCAGGTGGTGGTTTTCAATGGTTCTCTAACTGATATCAATCCGTGATCAACTCGTAAAAAACAAAACTAACCCCTACAAATTAAACTATAGAAAATTAATCTGATGCTTACTAGTGACTTTCTACAGGGTGGAGTTTCCTGAGTTCTAGTGAGAAATCGTGACCAGTGACGTCCAATTAGATATCACGTGTGTGGATGGATGTCCGACCAACGACAGTAGTTGGGGTCGCGCTAAATCACGAATGGGTAGAAGTTAGAATTCATGCGCTGGACACTGAATCGGGTCCCAGTGGCCGAATTGTATATGACCAGCTTTTCTTGTAACCGGAAGGTCCTGGTTCGAACTATGTTGGTGGGTACGTACTTCCGATGATTCCCAAAACTAGGATGAAACCTCTGGCTTTCCAGTACTCCATGTGGCTTGTTTTCAATGGTTCTCTAACTGATATCAATCCGTCATCAACTCGTAAAAAACAAAACTAACCCTTACAAACTAAACTATAGAAAATATTGCCTTGTGTTGTTCCAGAGAAAGTAATATCATATTTGTTCTTTCAGTCAATCCCCTTTATTCATTGTGAGACACACAGAGGTATTGGCTTCAGACTATGCAATATAACAGTTTTCAAGAGGGTTTCTTATTCCTTTCTAATATGTTGTAATTATTTAAACAGGTGATTATTTAAGACATGTATTTTACTTTAAAAGTCACGAGTGTGAACTGAATGATACGGTCCGGTTACAATAAATTAGTTCACGCTAAACTCCCAAGAAATGATCAGTGAATTCACAAACAAGCATACAGTTCCTTAAAATATGAGAATAATAGTAGGAATATTTAATTTATTAATCAGATCAGCTCTTTAAATACAAATATATATATACATATATGTTTTTCATGTAATATATAGTTTCATTTACAAAAACGGAGTGATTATGATTGGAGTGCTTGTAAACGATTACACCATTTTAACTTTCCAGTTGAACTCAATTTTTCCCATCTTGATAATAATTGATTAGCTAACCAATCTTGAGTTGGTGGAGCATTGAACATGACACGATGTTCACGTTTTAATGATGGACCAATATGCTTGGCAAATAGTCTGAAAGCAGCTCGTACTAGTTCAGGATTTTCAGATTCAATATCTTTTACATCTGTATATTCCATAGAATAACGTTTATGACAAGGTGGTCGATTATTTTTATTATCATTATTATTATGATTATAATTAATATTGTTATAATTTCGGTTAGATAAGCTATCATCCGACTTGCGCTTTAAATTATTGTGAACAGGTAGTTGTTTCGGTTCACTTATTCTGTGTTTCTTTATTTCTGTATACTTTGGAGAATATTTTGGTCTTTTATTTGTATTTTCACCTTTTATTACAGTTGAAAAAGTAGTAGCATTAGAAGTAGTAGCAGTAGGAGTAGTACCAACTTGCGTCTTCTTCTTCTTTGAAATAATAGACTGATAATGTAATAAACGTTCTAGCAGCGTTTCTTCATCAAGCGGTTTAATTGGTGAAGATGTTTTAATAGCTTCAATTTCAGCTAAAACATCTTTTACACATGATGCTAGAGCAAAACAATGACGAACTAAGCCTGAGTTTTCCTGCTTTAATTTATCAATTTCTTGTTCCAATAATTTACAAGCTTGAATACGCCAATCTGGTTGACAGTAGTGATTAGAATTAGATGATCCGGGAGCACATGGATAGGAAACTTCTGATGACACAGAATCAGTCATAACAATTAATAACTTCAGCAGATACCTTTTAAGGGGGGAAAAATTAAAGAAAGAGAAAAAAATAGCAGTAGTCAAGTATTTATTACAAAATAATAAGCTTCACTACTGAAAAACAAAAAATGAGTAGCTAGAGAAATTGTTGAAAGAAAAACAATGATTTTAAATGAAGGAATACCTTATTTAGACCATTTTATTTTATTATGAAAACAATCCCATGTGTATAGGTGTGACTTAAAACGTACATTCCCAATTTCAAAAAAGGCTACACTAGTTTAAAAAACAGACTATGCCACTTGTAAATAATTTGAAAACAAGTTATATAAAATAATTCAGACAGATTATAATTATGACTGAATGTCCTCGACATTTGGATTTTTTTAATAAAATTAAGAAAAGACTGAAAGTTTAATTGGTGGATGATGACTAGCAGTGGAATCCAGTATAAAGGCATTTCGTCCTATTCGGGACTCGTCAGCCGGATGTACCTGCATTTTTCAGTGAGTGATGATGTTTCCACCACCGAGGCTCGAACCCAGTACCCATAGTTTCCAACGCCAAAGCGTTATCCACTAGACCACTTGGGCCACGAGAGCCACCTCTTGTGCAGGGGTCATATTAATTATTTAATTGAATTTCAGATTTTCCCGTCGATTGATTGGACAGAAGTGCTCGGTCTCAGGTTGACAAGTCGGCTTCTTGTACAGATGCTTCGACGATGTCTAAACACCCAGATGACGAGTCCCGAATAGGACTAAATGCGCATCCTGGATTCCACTGTTAGTCACCATCCACCAATTAAATACTAATTAAATGCCCAGACATCGTCAAGCATCTGCACAAGAAGCCGACATGTCAACCTGAGATCGAGCACTTCGGTCCAATCAATCAATCGACGGGAAAATCTGAAATTCAATTAAAGACTGAAAGCATTAATTGTCTAAGAGTGATATGTATATATCGGACTACAAGTAGTGGATAAACAACAAGAAAGACCATCAGAGACAACTAAAAGTAAGTGGGTCATTACAAAAGCCTTAGAACCATTAGACTATACTTCATAGTGCAGTCTTAAGTCCACGGTTCAGTATCGCACATGAACAGGAAATATTCACATTTTGGATGCATTACTATTGAAATTACTGAATCAAGAAAGCTTTAAAGAGAATGTCATTATGGATACTACAGAGTACCGAAAACAAATAATGTGAATGAAAATTGTTATCATTTAAATTTATCTGACCGTATTCTCAATTGTAAAACGTTAAGACATGCTTTCCTTTCAACTATCGAGACGTTAAACCACTTTACTTAAGTGAACAAAGACTAGTACAAAAGTTATACAGAATTCCTAACTTTCTGTAGGAAATCTCGAATAAGTCTCATCACAGACTGTATATACATTGACCTATGTTATTTGCTCAAAAGTACGTTGCTGGATGGTAGAAAACCATTCGGGAAGTGTTAATCAACAACCATTTGTATTTTGTTTGATACAGTCGACACTGAGCTCTACACCTATTCATTGTATAAGGAATGCTCAAGCCTCGGCAGATGAGGTCGGATTCGAGCCCATGACCACCATGGTTGGTCACTGAGTGTTTAGACTAGTGAACCATAGTTAACTGGTAGGCATACGTATTATAGTGTACACCGAGATCAAAACAACCCACCACACAAGATTGGAAGGTCGTGAAAACTATTCCACCCAAAATGGAAGGCGTTAGAAACTTATGAATGCAGCTGTACTTCTGAGGTAGACGATTTTAATTGTTAAACTAAACATCCTCATTCTAAACAACATAAGTAGGACTTTAAAAAATTTCATGCATGAGGTTACTATCTCTTCCGATGACCTGATCTGAGACTAGTTATATCCAGAGATTTTGCTATCATCATATGTTTACATATAATCTTTATTGATCGCCTAGGTGGCCAGATATTAAACCGTCTAGTCATATGATTCCTTCATTTTATAACAAATCTTTATATCAACATATTTATTGATTACGGATTATACTGAGTGTTGGGTTTAAAAAAAAAACTCTGAGATATGCTTAGCATTCTGTGTATACACAAGTTCTATACATTTTCTTCAGTGTAAGTGTGAAATAATGAAGAAGATCATTTCGACTATTTTGATTGGACACCAGTAATTAGTGTGATGTGTCTAGTCCTCTCTTTGGTGCACACTGAATTCTATCAGTCAGGTTGTTATGTGGCTACCGTTTTAGGTAGCTCGCCATTATTCCCCCCACATGGACGTGGTTGGCAAGTCACGGGTCGATCCTCAGAGCATGCAAGACAAGGGGAACATTCTTGTCGACAAGGAGCCCACTCTAGAAAAGATAAGTGAGGAGATTGTACGACAGTTCCTTGAAGGCTGCAGATACGCCTTGCTGACTGGTGAGTGCCAACTAGCACGAAACCTAGGTCGAGTGAGGCTTCCTGTGGCCGACTGCCTCCAACCATCTAATAATTTCGACTATTTTGCCTGAAACAGCAATGGAAAGATACACTTACAGAACAAATCCACTTAACTTACTGAAGTATCTAGATACACACAAATAGTATCAGAATTGCGTGACAGTAGGCTCTCCTTTAAGCCTGTCACACACGGCTTATTTGAAGTGGTTTTTGGACTTATGCTCGTATGAGGACCTTACCACTGGCTATATAACACATCCCTGTAAAATCTAGGATGTACAATTTTTCAAGCTAATCTTTCCCAACCTACCTTTCTCAGCAAACGAAGGCAGCAAAGCTGATCTGCGGGTTTTCCGAAGAAAACAACACATCACTGCAGTTAGTTACACCAATAGTAGTGGTACGGGTTCGGCCTCAAACTCCCAACACGTAAACTGCACATCTTTTAAGTCGCTTATAAGTAATGATTTATGCTTTGTATTCGTGTGACCTTAATGTTGAATCATTCATGTGAAACAGACCAAAGTATTATGAAATCCATAAATTATGCAAAGTTAAACAGAAAGACTAAAACCTTTAAACGCTCAGTCTTACAATTAGTTAAACAGAATTCGTGAAATTGATTAGAGAACCACTGGAAAGCCTGGGAGTACTGGACAGCTGTTTCGTCCTAGTTTGGGACTCTTCATCAGTACGCACCTACCGCCACGGTTCGAACCCAGAACCTTCTGGTTACAAGGAGAGACAGCTCGTAGACCATTAAGCCACTGGGACCCGATCCAATGGCCCATGCGTACTGATGAAGAGTCCCGAACTAGGACGAAACAGCTAGCTGTTCAGCACTCCAAGCTTGTCTTCCAATGGTTCTCTAACCAATGTCAAAGCATGATGAAATCCTGTAACCAATCAACCAAATCCCTACAAACCAATACTAGAATTCTTGAAAGTTAGTCATTTGACTAGTTTGATTAAGGATATTTGAGAATTTTAACAATTGCAAAAATAATACTGTTGTTTTCTGTGTTCATTATAAAGAACATTTCCAACTTATAAGAGGTATGTGCAAACCCATAAAAGAATATCTTGGCAAATAACACTACAGAAATGCAAATTAAAACCATTCGCGTACTCAATCACACACGGAATGAGAGAAAAAGAAATCGGTGTAGGTCACAGACAATACTTTATTACATCACAGATATCTGTAATAATCACAATAATATAAGTCATAATGGACAGGATGAAGAAATAATTGACAAAAGTGACAATACCAGTGAAGACAACAGCAGCAACAAAAACAACATGAAGTGGATAGATAACATGGCTAATTAGTCAATAAAGACTTTTCGGAATAGAAAATAAACGTGAAAAGCATCAAAAATAATAATAATAATAAGTAGTATTACACAAAAGATATCAAATGCTTGCTACACAATCGGTTGCACATTGTGTAAAAATACACCGATGCACGAAAGATATGATATTCACAGAAGAGACTTTAAACACTGGACAGGAGAGAGGAGAAAAGGCAAGTTAGATGTTAGGTTAATCATATGCATACTGAGGGTAATTTAAGAGCAGGTAAACACAGTTCAACACAATTCATCCAAAAATTAGCACATGGAATATGATAATAACAGCCGGCTAGATTAATATGTGCTAAACAGTGATTTAAGTGTTTTTGTCTTTTATGACCATTAGAGTGTTGAAGAGGAGAAGGCGAAGCAGAGGAGAAGAAGAGGATATCGATGATTCGTTGACAGGATTATTAATGCATTGGCCATCAGTTGGATTGATTGATGAAAGACATACTCCACAATACGGGAACTGGCATTCATAAAATCTTGAATCATATTTTCACTTTCTAATATTGTGATCGATTTCAAAGCTTGATCAATTTTACTCTGAACAACAAGGAAAAAATAAGAGAAAAATATTTTTATAAAGTCATTGTTGTTCTTTGTATTTTAGCAAAATATTGGGGAATTTCAGGAATTATCGGAAAATATTCCATTCCAAAGGATGACTGACAGCCGTCAAAAGCAATCTAAAAAAGGAGGCTGTATATAGAGCGGTGCGTCGGTGGCATAGCGGTTAGGACGCTCGCCGACTATGCACATGGTCCGGGGTTCGACCCCCGGTCATGGACGCACTCCTTTACCTCACTAAGCTAGAAATAATGCTGGTAAACAGGATAGGTTGGGAATGAGGCTAGCAAACTCCATCCTGTAAAATAAACACCGCTACAGAAACTTCAAGCCACTAGGTTGAAGCCCTATGTTCCACTGAGGAACGTGAAGGAAACAAATATATATAAAGCGAATTCTGTTAAATAATAGTTGGGGTGATACTCTAAGATTACTGCTGCATTAGAAGTATGCAGTGCGACATTCATCATATGTAGTTCATGTGATGGTCACAAACAATACTCAACAGGAAAGTAGCTCCGTGTAAGCTACGATAACATAAATACAGGTAAACTTAAAAGGTAAAAACTCAATTTATTAAGTGATGAAGACAGATTAAGGGAAGAAGAAATCTAAGAAAACACAACTGAAATGAAAGAGCATCTTTGAAATATTTTATGAGGATTAACAATAACACCTGACTGATTTAAATCTTGGTAATTGGAGAGGGGCTAGAAACAGTAATTCAGTAGTTTTTAGTGAAACGCCTAGACGAATTAACCACGACGTACCACCCTACAGCAGAGTAAGTTTCTTAAAATTATCAAAAACACCGAGGGTATCATCAAGGAGTTAATTTTTAACGCGCGAATAGGGTGATATGGGTAAGACACTCCAGTCATCTTCAATTTTCCCTTCATAGGATACGGAAGACTACACCATATCTGTGTTTTCACTTAACACAGAAACACATTCTTTGTATACTGTACAGAACTGTGGTGGTAATCAAGACTGAGATCATTCCACAGATAAAAGAGATAGATACACACTCAATAGTCCCCTTGTAGATTAATTAAGAAATCAACATGATACTTTGTGCACATAGTATAATTGACATAAGGTCAATATGTGAAAGAGCACAAGTACCTTTAGATCGCTTGTAACAGCATATGACGCTAATTTACGAAATGAATTCTCAACATCCGAAAATTCTTGTTGCATAGATGGATTGAGTATACCTAAAATAAAAAGGTGAAGAAAATAAAAATTAAATATTCACAAAGGATTGTATTAGAAATACACTGAATCAACATTAATCAGAGTTGATATTAGCTCACTTCTGTGATAATTTCAAGTCGAATGGCTAGGTACTACTTACAGTTATGCTAGAAAAAGTGCCTTTGGTTGGACACCAGGTAGTAACTAACACCATGTGTCTAGTCTATCGTTCGATGGGGACTGAATTCTATCAGGCAAGTTTGCAATGTGGTGCACCCTAAATTGTTGTTAGATGGGCCAGTGGTAACGTTTGTGACTGCAGCACTCGGTGACCGAGGTTCAAATTTCAGAAGAGACATGAATTCCTTCAAGATTGCAGATACGCCTTGCTGACTGGTGAATGCCAACAAGCCCGAAACTTAGGTCCAAGGCTTTTTACCGATTGCCTCAAACCATAAAACAACTAGAAAAAAATGTTAAGTTAGTTGACTGACTCTTGAGGCTATTCACATCGTCTACTACTATTTATTATTGTTCCCTTGAGTTCCTAGTGGAGCATAGGGCTTCAACTGCACGTCTCCACTTGTTTCTGTCTTCCTTCTGCTGTACTTTTCACCTGAATCCATATTAGTCCATACTGTTTCAACTCCTCTTCACACGATCTCCTCTATGTCACCTTGGGACGTCCCACTCGTCACTTCCCTTTGAGGTTCCATTCGAGCAATGGCCTGACGCGCGCGTGATATCACCCCGCGGCCTCCTCAGCGAGCGAGTGTCCAGTCCATCTCCATCTTCTCCTTCATATTTGTTGGTTGGCGATTGGTTCTTGTTTTGTTTGTTCCCAGCCATAGTTCCTTGTCGGTGATTCTTTCCAGGCATCTGATCTTCAGTATAGAGCCAGCGAAGACAGTTGTCATAGACATATCGTCTAACCGAAGAGAAAATATGTTGTTGAAAGCTTATTTTTCCTTCATAATACTCAGGACAAAAGATACGTAAGATGAGCTAACCTCAAACGGTATAGTGTTGTAGTTGATCAATATTTAGTCGCTGACGCACAAAATCTCTTCTTTTTTTTGAGTATCTGCCATGAAAGGAGTTCGATAAGTTGTTTTTTACCCTACAGCTACACATCTCAGTAATAAACTATAATAAAAGCCAGGGGGTTTGAACAAAGCAAGAACACACATACTGAGCAAGATAAAATAACGTCACATTATGTTTCTTTGGTTCTTGTCAGCCACACACACATACACCCATCAACAGTTTAATATCAATGTACAAAATATGCGAATACTTTAGCTGTCGATCATAAACGTGAAGGATATTAATATCACGTGATTACGTAGTAAAAATGGAAAGGAATAGAAAAAACCACTGACACGCTTGTCAATATGTATACAAATGATTAAGGAATTTTGTAGAATTACAAGTGAATGTTGCAAATTGAGTAGAGGTGTAAAATCAACAACACACGTAAGGGTCAAATAATTTAGTTGAACAGAGGTCAGAGATGTTCTAGAACAAAAGATATACAAACAGCCTGCTATGATGCTCAAAATGCATAACGTACGTAATTAGGTAGTCACTCAGTTGAGAAATTTGTTAACATCCTGAAAGCCCTATACAGAAACACCTCAGGTAGAGTGAGGGCATACAACCAACTATCACCACTGTTCCCAACCAACAGTGGGGTTAGACAGGGTTGCCCAATCTCTCCGTTTCTCTTTAACTTTGCCATCGATGACATTCTGGAGTCAGCTCTGAAGGATGTGCGTGAAGGTGGTGTAGATCTGCTACCTGGAGATAGACTTTTCGACCTCGAGTATGCAGACGATATCGTCTTACTGTGCGATAGCATGCAGGCTGCCCAAATCGCACTTAATCAGTTGGCGATCAGTGTCTGTAAGTATGGTATGTGCTTTGCGCCGTCTAAGTGCAAAGTACTGTTACAAGATTGGCAGGAGCCTGTACCTGCACTCACTCTTGCGGGTGAACCGCTTGAAGTTGTTGATAAGTTTGTGTACCTGGGTAGTTGTGTGAGTGCTGGCGGAGGGGTGACGGATGAGATTTCCAACCGTATAATGAAGGCTAGGGTGGCATACATCAACTTGAGCCACCTCTGGCGCCGTCGCGACGTTAGCCTGGCTGTCAAAGGTCGGGTATACAATGCTTCGGTGCGAGCTGTCCTGCTCTACGCCTGTGAAACCTGGCCTCTCCGAGCTGAGGATGTGCGGCGACTCTGCGTGTTCGATCACCGCTGTCTCCGCAGGATTGCTTGCGTTCGATGGCATCATCGCGTGAGTAATTCTGAGGTTCGGCGGCGTGTGTTTGAACAAAGTGGAGATCACCATTCATTGAATGTCGTCATCTGGAAACACCGGCTCCGGTGGCTTGGACATGTGCTCCGAATGTCACCCCAGAGGCTTCCGTACAGGTCTCTGTTCGCTAGCCCTGGGACGGGATGGAAAAGGCGGAGAGGTGGTCAGTCCATGACGTGGCGTCGTGGGATGAAGGATTTTTGTGCTAGATTAGCATCGGTTGGTGTGTCACGACTCCCTGGTTGGGGTCCGAGAGATAGCTCAAATCGATGGCTCGAAACGTTATCGGATATGGCCAAGAATCGTAATCAGTGGCGAATGTGTTGTGATTTCCTTCTTTCTTCCCTTCCCGATGATAGCTAACGAACACTGTTTGAACTTGTTAAGCATGACTGTTTTCCTTCCAGATGAAGTTCTTTATCCGTTCTCTACTTATATATATTTTTTCTTTTCCTTCCTTCCTTTTTTTTGATCTATGTTGTTTTATTATTATTGTGTGGCGCATCTTTCTTGGTGCCATATTGTACCAAGTTTTTTATGCGTTTAAATAAAACAATAAATAAAACACTCAGTTCACTAGAATCTTCACACAATAGTAACAAGACTCGATGCATGCAGAGATAAGGATGTAATATTAACGTAATCCTATGAATCGTACTAACATGTGATAAATCACAAACTTATTACTGGATGAAACTTAACACCTTAAGAAGTGAACATCAGCATAGAAAGTATTGGATAACGACTAAAATACTCTCTATTAACTAATAAAATTAGTATTTTAGATCTAACAAGGATATTTCCGCTATCATTTGAGACTGGTCGAGTTTCACAGAAGCGCAGCGGTTCAGGTAGCGCACGAAAGTAAAGAAGGGAAAAAAACGGTTCAAAAGAACTATAACGAGTAGAAATGTACCGGGCAAAAAAACAATTACATGGAAAAATATGAGGATTTGATGGATCTGGAAAATTACAAAGAGACAAGGCATCTGAGCTATTGAGAACGGCTTTGAGTCATATTTATCAATAGTCTCCACTCCAGCCGTTGGTTCTTAGCATTTCGATGACTCAAAACAGACAGTCTAAACTTCCTTATGTGACTGAAATCAACTATCAAAGACTTCATGTATTGACGGCGTGTTTTGATTTGACTGCACCTTAACTCTTTCTCAATCCAATCGTATGTCAGCTAAAATTTCTCTACCAGGAAAATGGTGGATTTGTATGTGTAACACGTGTTCTAGCAATTTCACAACCTCATCGACTGACTTCCTTTGTCTACCTACCACTCTGTACCTAACCGTATTTATACCATTTGGTACAGGAAATAGAACACAAACATTTGTGGTCAAAGACAGCTAGCCTTTTCATATCTTCCACTTTCAATGACTATGTCTCACTAGCATAAAGAAGGTCAGAGCAAACTGCAGAGCAATACATATTCGATAGCTGGATATCATGTCTCAGCAGAAATGATGTAGGTCGAAGAATGTCACACGAGCCTTTTGTATTAATCCTAGGAGATTTCAGTTCAGTTCATTAGTCTGATTTGTCCAATACATCTGACCAATAACTCGAACTTAGGACAAAAGTACCACTTGAGGACATAGTGCTGGGAGTGCAACTTTGTCTGATTTTTACAGTATTTAAATTCCAAGGCAAAATATACAAACAAACTGAGGGAGTTGCCATGGGATCACCAATATCCCCGGTTGTAGCAGATATATTCATGGATAGGTGGGAAAAGGTAGCGATTGAAACGTTCACCCCCACCCCAAAAAGTATTGTGGAGGTATGTAGATGACACATTCACTGTACTTAGAACACAAGATATAGATAGATTTTTCAAACAAATCAACTCGAAGGTAGAGGAAATTCAATTCACTTATGAATTGGAAAGTCAGAAAGGGGAACTTCCAATATTAGATTGCAACGTTAAAAGGAAAGAAGATGGGAAGTTAAACACTAGTGTTTACAGAAAACCCACACACTCAAACAGATATTTGGATTTCCGATCGTCCCATCCTATGTCAGTTAAAATAGGATTAGTGAAATGTTTAAATGACAGAGCACAAAAACTAAGTAGTACCAAGGAAAATCTAAGACATGAAGTGGTACACATAAAAGAAGCCTTGAAACTTAATAATTACCCGGATAAATTAGTGATATATATCCATATAATATGTGTGTTTGTTTGACAGTCTGTATATTTGCTATGTATATATGGATAATTATCACCAAGGACAGACTGTCAAACAAAACACACATATTATATGGATATATATCAATTAGTTAAGAAATATGTAAGTAAATGTAAAAATAAAGTAAATAATGATAATAGCGATAGTAATGATAATAATAATAACAATAATAATGATAATAATAATAATAATAATGGTAATAATAATATTAATGACGACACCAACAATAGGGGATCTAAATCATCAACAGTAATTCCATACAAGGAAGGAACCTCGGAAGCCTTACGCAGAATCAGTTCATTAGGGCTGATGTTACTTCCCCATAGTTTGAGAAAATCCATACATTGCCATTCATCAAAAACGTCTCCACTTTGAAAAAACTATCAATGTCTAGGCCATATGAATATTTCCACATTCTATGCGATTATAACGCAGTTTACCTTTATTATAACGTCTGTTCAATGATTTCTTCAAAACCTAAGTAATCAAAGGTTCGTTGAGTTTAGTCAGTAATCATTTAAAATTCACTAACTCGATTTTCGTTCATTTTGACTCAACTACAATCATTTGATTTGAACATCAGTTGTGAATACCTTTTGTGCTTCTAATCATTAATATAAACCATGAATAATAACTATAATATTAACTACTAGTTAATGCGTCTATTCTTCTTCTGGAAATGATTGTGCAGCATATGTAAATAATTTTGCTCCACGAGTTCGTCTTCTACAGACAGCTGAAGCAATAGGAATCTACCTGGAGAAGCCAAACCTGTGTGTTCAGAAGAAATTTGTACAGCCACTTTCCTTACTGTGGCCATCGTTACATGAATGCATAAACCGGACTCCTTCACCCCCCCCTCCTCCTAAACCTTTAAAAACTATAAAAATTATAATTGTCTAAATTATTTTATTTTTTCTGACCACTTCATTTTTAATTACGTGTTATCCTTGTAAAATTAATTTATTCTAACCATTTCTACCTTTTAATTGTGTGTATTGATTTTCTTCGTTAATTACCCAACCCAGTGATATGTTGACACTGACTAATTATTGTTAACAAACATATCAGTGCCACTTGATTGGTAAACTATTGTGTATTGTAATAAAAATGCTATACGTGTATATTACAGTAGAGCCAGAGATGAGGATCTAACTGAAAAGTAAATATTTCTTCGCTCAATCTTCCTGTTTTCTAAACAATTTTCTCAACCCGTTATCTACTATAACCAACTAGAAATTACTCTGAAAAAATCCAAATGTGATTAATGTAAGTGCATTCATTGTTCAACAATTACGCTACTCACTGTATTTTCTAGCTGACAGGTTAATCCGTCTTGTCATTAAGTAGATTTCAGTAATATCTAAAAAAAAGAAAAAAATTGGAAGTATAATCACAGAAATTCTATCATACTGTGGAGAAATAATATAATTTGAAGTTAAAATGACCCTTTAAGTTAGAGAATTCGATTGACAAAAGCCAATGAGCACATTAGCATACAATCGCTTTCAAGTACTTCATTCAGTTAAAAATTCAGAGATCATGGATTTCTGCTGAGTCTATAATTTTCCTGTCTATATTTTTTGGCTTTTCATTCTAAAGTGTAGTTCATTTAGGTTGGTTAAGTGACTTCTTTGGTAATTTGGATTTTTGTACACAGTTATTAAGTTAAAATATACCATTCAGATGCCAGATCCATAATTAGTTGTTTGACTTTTAAATTAGATTGAATAACAAACCAACACGTAGAAGATCACTTGATATGCAGGTGTTTCGTCTTAAATTTACGCTGTTTATAGATATGTGATGCTATCCTATGAAATACTAGTAGTAGGAAGTCATATTACATTGGCCTCTATACAGAAGTTTAAATAACGATGTGTTCGCCCTATAAACACATAGATCTGAACTCAACGGTTCATAGAGTTGTTCGCACACGTTGATGGAGAGCACTAGATTAAGAGGAAACAACTGCCTACTATTTCTTGGTTTTCAACGGATTCTTCACTGATATTTGTGAGATACACCTTCAAATCAAAAAGGTTATTTAAAGGGAATATTTGATAAAGGAAAATAACATAACTGACAAGAAGTAACTCAATATGATGACTGAAAACCAGTTGTAATGCATTTGAATAGACCTGGAATAGGTTCATTAAATAGAAATCTAATACTTTTCTATAGTTTGGTTTGTAAGGGTTAGTTTTATTTTTACTAGATGATCACGAATTGATATCAGTTAGAGAACCATTGAAAACCAGGGAGTACTGCACAGCTGTTTCATCCTAGTTTCGGAATCATCGCTAGTACGCACCCACCACCACAGTTCGAACCGAGGACATCCGGGTTACAAGTCAAGCCCGTATACCATTCAGCCACTGGGACCCGATTCATTGGCTCATGAATTCTAACTTCCACCAATTCGTCATTTAGCGCGACCACAACCAATGTCGTCGGTGGGACATCCATCCTCACATCTGGATGAACCTCACTGGTCACGACTTTTCACTAGAACTCCAGGAAACTCCATCCTGTAGCAATTCATTAACGAGCATCAGATTAATTTGGTTGGGGTCGCGCTAAATGACGAATCAGTGGAAGTTAGAATTCATGGAGTGGCCACTGAATCGGGTCCTAGTGGCTGAATGGTATATGTGCCAGCTTTCCTTGTAACCGGAAAGTCCTGGATTCGAGCCCTGGCGGTGGATGCGTACTGACGATGATTCCCAAAACTAGGATGAAACAGCTGGCTTTCCAGTACTCCCTGTGGCTTGTTTTCAATGGTTCTCTAACTGATATCAATCCGTGATCAACTCGTAAATCTAATACTACCAATAATGACATTTTAATGTTACTAGCACCATATATACTTTTTACTGAAAGTTGACACTAATGCTGAATCGTCAGTCTAATTTTACATGATACCTATAACAGTAAATCACTGAATTATCCTTTGGATATCAAATGAGTAAATAATCTTTCCCATATCATTTAAATGCAATTAACTAAATTTCGTCAAAACTGCTCATTCTGATGACTAGACCCATTGCACACTCTTTTCAGATTTTATAATACAATAGGAATAAATGATATTAGATAGTTGGAGGTAATCGGCTGAAGGAAGCCTTGGACCTATTTTTCGTGTTAGTTGGCACTCACCGAGTCAGCAAGGCGTATCAGCAACCTTCAAGGAACTCATGTCCCTTCTGAGATTCGAACCCGCGTCACCCAGTGCTGTAGTCAGAGACGTTACCACTGAGCTATTCGGGCTGGTGATTGACCTCCTGTAGGACTGTAATAGATGTTTTGATTTGACATTAGTGACTAGTGTGATGTGTCTATAGTCCTTCATTCGCTGCAGACTGAATTCTGTCAGTCAGGTTGTAATGTGGCCACCATTCTAGGTAGCTCGCCATCACGGTGCACATTGATTTGATGATATTAGATGGTTGGAGGTAATCGGCAGGAAGTCTTGGACCTGAGTTTCATGCTAGTCGGCACTCGTCATCAAATCAATGTGCACCGTGATGGCAAGCTACCTAGAATGGTGGCCACATTACAACCTGACTGACAGAATTCACTCTGCACCAAAGAAAGGACTAGACACATCACACTAGTTACTAGTGTCAAATCACAATAGGGATTAATGTTGTCTTGGTTAAATTCACGCCGTGAAGTCGGAAGAGTTTTTAATTAGTAAAGGTTTCATTAGTGGTATTAATTTTATGAAAAATTTATCCTGGCTTATAGGATTTCAAAATACGCTGTAAAGTTTACATACAAAGAAATACTTAGATATGATAGAGAAGATTTGTAGCTCAGGTGGATGATTTTGATGTGGTTTTGTTCTCTGAGCTGGATGATTAGTTTGCGAAGCTTTCATCACCTTACTGGGTGACATACTTCAAATTGAAGTATGCGCTGAAGATGTCACCCAGTAAGGTGATGAAAGCTTCGCAAACTAACCATCCAGCTCAGAGAACAAAACCACATCAAAAAGAAATACTTGACATCATAGACAGAGTCTTAATAAACACGAAACATACCTAATAAGAAATCAGATCCTTCTTCACTTTCAGCAAATTCTTTACGATCCTTAGGTGTTTCAAGTGATGATAAAACTGAAATGGATTGATTGAATACTTTCAAACACATATTTAAACAACAAAGCCATTGTCCACGTAGAGATTCTGATGAATTTGTTTCACACTGAAACAATAGACAAGTTATGAAGAAACACTATGAAGAAAAAAACTTGAACTGGTAATTATTGTGGTAACGAAGTAAACGAAAGATACGAAGAGATAAAAGTGCTATCTATTGGTAAAGACAAGATATCACTGTAAACAATCTAATTAACTATTACTGATAAGAAATTGAAGGGATTTAAAAACTAAACAGTTTATCTAAATGTTATGGGCTAAATAAATATTTGGCGGTCTGCTTAAATCACTGAGCTACCTAGTTTTTCATCCATCAAAATTAATTTTCAAGTGCTGGTTTGTAGGGATTCGGTTGATTGGTTACAGGATTTCATCATGAGATGACATTAGTTAGAGAACCATTGAAATACCTGGGAATACTGGACAGCTGTTTCGTCAACCTAGTTTGGGAGTCTTCAGCAGTACACACCAACACTGCGGGGTTCGAACCCAGGACCTTCTGGTTACAAGGCGAACCATCTCGTAGACCATTAAGCCACTGGGACCCGATTCAATGGCCAGTCCATGAATCCTAACTTCTGCCAATTCATGACATAGCGCGACCTCTAGCCAATGTCTTCGGCGAGTATTTGTCCTCACGCCCGATCTGCTGCACCTTAATGGTCACGACCTCTCACTAGAACCCCGAATAACTACCTACCTGACTATGTTTTATCTTGATCAGAAATATTTGAAAAAAATGTTTAGAAAGTGTTAAGTCAAAGTTTATCTAACCTGTATATTGATTGGATCAAGATCATAAGAAATAATTTTCTCTGTTGATGATGACGATGATGATTTTGGTGCATGATTATTTGATGAAGGCAATAATGAATTAGAATGAGTAAATGCATTGGGAAATTCAATAGGTTTCAATGAATCAATGGAATGACTAGTTTGAAATTCTCCAAATTCTTCATCAAACAAAGTATTATTTACACTATATTAAAATAAATAGTGAAAAAAAAGATAGTGAAGGCAGAAAAACTTTATTTGTTGCTTATTTTTGAAAATGTATTCAGAGCACCATTTATTTATTTATCGCCTAAGTATTAAACGTTGTGCATGTGACAAACAGTACATTTTTCGACTCCTAGGTTAATGATAGGCACTATGAGAAAAATGGTGAAGATATATGTAGGAGAATTGAATTAAAAAATCATTACTTAGTAGACCGGCTAACACAAATTAATCCTATTAGTTATAAAATAGATATAGAATAAGAGAGTTCCCAAACACACAGAATAGTAGCATTTCACTAATCTGTACATAGTTAATGACTATAGATACTGTAAAGAGAAATTATGTTGTCAGGATACAATTTTCTCCTCGTATGATATCCATTACCTATTAGGCTTAAAGTTCATCTTTTAGACTATTGACGACAACACTATGAAATTATGTCCCTAAGATATATAAGACAATGTTTATCAATTACAGTTGAATAATGCACTATGCATAACGCATTTAAAAGTAAGCAAATTAATCACCAATTTTAGTTACATAACTAATTTTAATTTATATCACGAACTGACTTCACATTAAGGGAGTACTGGACAGATGTTTTTTCCTAGTTTAGGACTCATCATCAGTACACACCCATGACTCCGCTGTGGATTGAACCTAGAACTTTAAGATTACGAAGTTAACCCTATGAACATTTAGCAACTGGAAGGGAATTTAAGATAAGAGTCATAAGCCGATTCGACAGCCAAAAAGTAGTACTGACTATATTCTAGTCTAGTCATAAACCGATTGCCCGTGATGACTAAATTCAATACTTATAAACTAAATATAAACCACTGGTAATAAAAGCATTTTCGAGAAGTGACTGACTCGAAGGAAGCCAGAATCTATGGATGAAATTAATTTATAAGTAAGTGTAGCCAGTGACGACGTTTACGCGAAGACGAAATGTCTTGTCTTATAAGTCAATACATTTTAAAAAGGCTAGTTAATAAATTAAGAGCCGGTAACTGCATAACAGTTCAACTACTACGAGATTCAAACAGACATAGTCAGTTTAGATATGCTGATGGTACTCAATATTGAAGGGTAATAAATTAAATTTTACAAAAACTTATGAGTGCTGCTTAGTCTCTCACTATTCATCGACAATTATTCAGTCAATAGTTCAATGGCGGAATGCCTGTTAACCATGCATACATATGGTCAAGGTTCGATTCCCCTCCGACGAGGCCCTATGTTTCACCTAGCCAGTAGTCAGCCCGGTAAAAAGGAGAAGTCAACCACCCACCCATGGGAAAAAACACCATTGCTACTGGAATTTCACAGCTCAAGCTTGAAGTCTTATGTGTTCCACTTAGAAAGTACAGAAAAGAGAAAGAAGATAAGAAAACTGTCCGCCAGTTCATTCAGTTATTTCAAACATTTATTCCCCTTTATGAATTTGAATATAGTAAGAACAACAGTTTGTGCAGAATGAAATGCTACCATCATTTATTTTGTTGGCTACTCATCAGCTGCTAACAGCCAAAAGACATTATTAAGGTTATCTGTAGAAATAATTTTAACATACTTACACAGAGTTCAATTTTAAACAATAAGTCAATGTATTTATTTTTTTTATTTGATTTTATTTTTGATTACAGCTTGATTCCATACTGTATTTTTGGTACAAGTATGGAATTTTCAGCGTGGATATCGGTAGCCCGAAATTCGCAGGCCGATCATAGATATCAGGTGTGCGTCGGCATGGGCTCGAACCCCGGACCATGTGCATGGTCGGCGAGAGTCCTAACCACTGTGCCACCGACGCACAATGGTAGTAATAAAAATGAATTTATCCCAAACAATAATAATCATACACAGTGGAAATTTTTGGCGTAACTTAATCAAATGAAAAAGAGGATGAAAATATTCAGTTACCAGGACAAGGGGAAAACCGATAAGTGCTTTTTTCTAAACATACAAATTGGGTTTCATGCGTTTGGTAGAGATTGCTTCAGCAAACTTGAGGAGAATTGAACTCTTTTGTCTATTGATCATTTTGAACGATCTTGTGACATCCTCCTTATGATCCGTGTCAAGAAGCCTAGCATTGGTACTGTTGAAAGCATTCCTTTGACATGTAGGCTTTTTGGTAGACATTCGGAAAATTGAAGGTATGACCTTCTTTCTGTTCTCCCAACGTAGCCACTCCCACAGATACATGTAAATTTATATACACAGAGTTAACATGAGAAGGGTATCTGGCAACTTTTGATTGCACTAAAGAGCATGGTGTCAGATAGACGAAATAAATGATGGTAGCCTTTTATTCTGCACAAACTGTTTTTCTTGCCTCATTCATTCAGTTATGTTGTCAAACAAAAAAGGCATATCAATAATCTTCTATAGTTTGGTTTGTAAGGGTTAGTTTTGTTTTTACGAGTTGATCACGGATTGATATCAGTTAGAGAACCATTGAAAACAAGCCACAGGGAGTACTGGAAAGCCAGCTGTTTCATCCTAATTTGGGAATCATCGTCAGTACGCATCCACCGCCAGGGCTCGAATCCAGGACTTTCCGGTTGCAAGGAAAGCTGGCACATATACCATTCAGCCACTGAGACCAGATTTAATGACCACTCCATGAATTCTAACATCTACCAATTCGTCATTGAGCGCGATCCCAACCATTGCCGTAGGTGGGAAATGCATCCTCAAACGTGACATCTGGATGGACCTCACTGGTCACGACTTGTCACCGCAACTCCAGGAAATTCGATCCTGTAACAAGTCACTAGCGAGCATCAGATTAATTTTCTATAGTTTGGTTTGTAAGAGTTAGTTTTGTTTTTACGAGTTGATCACAGGTTCGAACCCTGGTGGTGGGTGCGTACTTCCGATGATTCCGAAACTAGGATGAAACAGCTGTGCAGTACTCCCTGGTTTTCAATGGTTCTCTAACTGATATCAATCCGTGATCAACTCGTAAATATCAATAATCTAATGATTATGAGTGAAAACAACTGGATAACCACCTTTGTTTTGTGAACAGACTAGTATATAGTGTAATCAGTGTGAATGAAAGTTGGAGTTAAATTTTCAATGGCAGAATGCTTTAAACCTAGATATAAGTCATTTAATTTTCCTTAAACCTTTAGTCAACATTTCACTAATTTAATAACTCCCACTTAATATATAATGGATAAGAAAATAAAACTACATTCTAATGAATGAAATAAACACAAGAATTAATTGTGGTAATCATTTTCATAAGATATGTCTGCTCAACTGAACCATTACTTCAGCCACCCATGTAAACTTAAATATTTGACTGTAAATATGAGACACAAATACTTGGATCTATTCTCATTAAAAGCAAGTAAAATATCTCAAGATTTTAGCTTATTCATTAGCTGAACAAGGATAAGGGCCAGTAACTACTGAAATAAGTGGAGTAATACAAAATGTATGAATTTGTTTAAATTAATAGGAAGGAACAACAGTAGCCTTATGTATCTCTTACTTGGTTACTGGTGTCTTCTGACCATTAACAATAACTGGGACATTCATCAAAGTATCCTTTTCAAGCGGCGCAACCTGAAATTCAAATAAGTATAAAATGTGTATTGGAAGAAAATGGAAGCTTAATGGAACTGCTGCACAGTATTGAGGGACACGATGCAACAGCATGAAAGAACTAATAAAAGAGTATTTGACCCAAATTCACATCCATTCAGGTTGATTAATCTCACCTAGTTTTTTAACCGGTCTCAAGCTCGGGTTAAAGAGGGAGGCTTGAGCGCAGGGCCAGCCACCCTACCCCGGAAAACCAATCAAACCGCTACCTACAGAAATTTCAGCACAAAACAAGAATATTAGAAATACAAAAAATATTGAAGAAAAAAACCTATTCTTCGCTGGAATCGGAGAGGCGAAATGACACAGCGGGCTGGTGAAAGCCTTTGGGAAGCCAGTCAGCCGATGCGTCTTATTTCGATGAAAGTAAGAATAAGAATGGGGACGTGGAATGTTCCTTTAATGTACGAAATTAGGTAACCAAAGAAATGAGAAGATATGGTATAGAAGTGCTGGGAATCTGTGAGAACAGATGGAATGGATGTAGACTAATCCTCAGACTGCAGAATAAGTTTATTTCTAAGACTTAAAGTTAAACACACGTGAAGGCAGGCGACTCAATTTACTATTCATCAAACTGATTTGAACTAGAAATTATTCTAATCAATATAAGTGTTGGATTTTATAACTGTAAGAGCGAATGATTATTTGATTAACTATAAACTAATGCAATATTACTTTTGGCCTGATAATATATAAAACGCCCAATAGAGTAATTGTTTTTCATACTTTGAGAATAGGCTAGGGGGGCGATAAGCTTTCTTTTATTTGGTCTTTCTTCATTTCCAAATGTATAACACTACAGAAAGACAGAAGTCATGAAAGACAAATATGGTCTAACTGACGTTACGTTTGATATGTATTCAAAGTGCAGGACAGAAAATTCGAGAGATTTTAAACGTGATCACCACATACACAGCGACTGGAGTTTTACCCCATATCCCAAATGTCCGTCTCTTGATTTGCAGCTATGAGGTGTGACAGCACGAATGTTACATTTCATTTGAATAATTCTTACATCTGCATTTTTAAAAGAACACTCAACTATTAAAACAATCAATAAAACAACAGCAACTCAAATAAATTTGTTTCATACAGCCAGTTTCCTTTATTAGTTTGAATAAAGAAGGAAGGACATATTCGCAGGATAATACGAGCTCGTTTTGTTTCTTGGATTTTTTTTATTCAACTATGTAAATCCTAAATAAATCAGTTATAAGTTACAAAATTTCCGAACATACTTTTTACAATGACTTCAAGTTATAGATAAAAAGTATGGGCAACATAATTTCAAAGATGCTATGATGTAAGTACACACACACACACACCAGAAACGGTTATGATGTTCATATGCTTTTGTGTTTTTGTTTTGTTGCATAATATTCCATTCAATCACGATTTTGATTTTCACTCACTGAGTTGAACTCACTATAAAGGTTCCGAATCTACTAAATTAAGTTATTTCATCTATTTTATAATTTTACTTCACTACTCACCTCCACCCTCCTGAACTCTCCACCATAATATGTATAAATTCACTCTCTTGTTCTATCTCATAATTAGTCTCTAGTGCATCGTTTCCAAGCTAAATCTGAACTCCACCCTTTTGTCTAATTACTATATAAATAGTTACTTTTTTAACATTACGTAAGTGTCTACTTACATTATCTTTGAAATTATGTTGCCCATACTTCCTATCTATAACCTGAAGTCATCGTAAAAAGTATGTTCAGAAATTTTGTAACTTATAACTGATCTATTTAGAATGTGGGCAGTTGAAGAGAATCTACGAAATGAAACGAGCTCGTATTATCTTGCAAATATGTTCTTTCTTTCTTTATTCCAATTAAATTAATTTATATTTCAAATTGACGGTTTATGTCAAACCGAAATGCTCAGCATCTATCGATATGTCGGCTCCTAGTAAGGACGCCTCGACAATGCTTGAAGATCAATATGATGTTACGCTGGTGGACACTATGAACCAAATAAAAACAAAACCTAGATAGGAATTTGGAATATAGTTCCTGATAATAAAATATCAAAGGAATTTTTATACAGCATCTTAACAAGTGTGTTTACTATCAAAAGGTTTGAATATTTGTAAAGTATGTGGAAAACGAAAACAAGGAATTCAGTGAAGAGACTCTTTAACGAATTCATTATGCAGTTGCACAACCGTATATCTGACTGTTTTCGACATAGAACTTTGCATCGATGTGCACCAGTTCAAGTCGCCACACTCCATGTAGCATACAAAGCAAGAGAAGAGAGTAAAAGAAATGCATAATATAGACAGTAAACAGAGGTGTGAGACACAGGAATAGCAATAACGAAGAACGATATAGTTTCATTGGAAATCATAAGTCACAGGGAGTGGATGCGTTTGCTCCCGCCATTGAGAACGATTTGAGCCATATCACCAATTGTTTCCAACCACTGATTTTTACCGTCCCAAGGACTCCAACCAGGAAGTCTACATCTTCCTACGTGGCTTAAACTAACTATTGTAGATTTCATTGACTGGTGCCATGTTTTGGTTTAGCCACTGCTAGCTCTTTTCCAGCCTGACACTATGTCAGTCAGCTAACGTTGCCCGTCGAGGAAGGCGATGGTTAGGTATGCGTCCTAACCCTCTCAATCGGTGTAACATCACAGCCTCATCTATCGATTTCTCCTCTTTACCTAGCACTCGACCGAAGCTTGACCTCAATATTGCTCACTTTATTACACCATTTCACACTGGAGATAGAACGCAGGTACCTATGATCAAAGACAGCTAATATTTTCATATCTTCCATTTTCAATGGTTATGTCTCACAGCCATAAAGGAGGATAGAGTGGGCTGCTGAACAGTATACCCGCCCTTTGGTCGATAGCCAGCCGGATATCACGTCTTCGTCATAGACGGCGTAAACTGGCAACCGTATATATATATATATGTTTTTTATAATAATAATTATAATAAAAAACCGCGACAAAATAGGTTATGTGATTTATAAAATATAGTTCTTAGGAAGGGCAGTAGAATTAATAAGATTACTAAGCAAATTAGGCGTTATACATGACAAGGTATAGCAATGGATTACATTTCGAATAAAAGCACACAAAGCTAAAATTCTTCAAAAGTATGTTTTTCAAATGCAGATAAAGACTTAAAGAGAACTTACGGAAGCGCTAAAGGAGGTAAAGTCGGACCATTCAGGATCATCTACAATTGGAGATGTTGAAGAGGTGAAATCCATAAAAGAATTTGTCTTGGAATCCGATTGCACTGACTGATTTTGTGATGTATTACTAATATCCAATTGCTGAGGAAATGCGGAAAATGCTACAACTGGAGGTTGGAAAGGAAATTTTGAAAACTCTGAAACAACTGAGTTCTGAAAGTCATTTCCAACTGTTGCTTGACTAATTGATTTTGATCCAAGAGCAATACCTGTAGAATTTGACTGTCTGTTGCTGTTATTAGGGATTTTTATCATAGGGACAGGAGGGCATATTTGCTCATAGACTGAATGAATACTAATGGCCTCAGAGATAGAAGCTGAATGTACCTCCCATTGTCTACGCTGTGCCAGACCGATTAGAGCCAATGCAGTGACTAACTCAGTTGGAGTAAACCAACCAGGTTGGGTGCAGCTTGTAAGAGACCAAATGTGATATAGTACTTCCGTACTCAAATTCGATGAACGAAAAATTTCGTAAATCACTGAACTATCAAGACCATGACTGTAAGAATAGAAAATTGAGTAACAGGTAATTTTAGTCTAAATAAGTAGATGCAAAGTGAAGATGAAAAGGGGTTAATAGAATTCAGCAGATTTACATAATACAAAACACCATGTTGAGAAAACCTGTGAAGTTTAATATCAAACTATTTAACTATGATAAAAAAACAGTTTTCGCCCTAAAAGTAAAGTGAATAAACACCACAGTAACGCAACAGAATGCTAACCAATGGAACCAAATGATCTCTCACTAGGATTGACGAAAAAGCATATGTTCAGTGAATCATTTATCTATGAGATACTGCCAATTCTACCGATTTTTATCAAACAGTGCATTATTCATAACCCTTAAGTTTTGTGAAATTCTTGTTTCTATCTCATACACCTAGTATGCCTAGCATAACGACTTTTAACACCAACCACAATGTTGTGTATAATTTCTTCTAAAACATGCTATTTATACGAACGACTGCCTAACATCTTAAACGATTAGGCTTCTCAACAGCACTATTTGCCAAAGGCAAGACGGAAAAAATTTACAGTGTAAAACAAACGAAGAAATTTAACTTTACTTCGATTCGCTAAATCTATTACTATCAAGACACTTTAACTAAACTTGTGGCGACAAAAAGGAGTAGTGATTAGTTCTAGCTCCTTTTCCCTATTTTCATTGGTGTGATCTTTCTTCTGATCCACTGATCTCAGCTCACTTATTTGATCTGAAATCACTTCTATGTGCTAATTAGTTTCTTATTACGTAATCTGTCCCCCTCCTCCTGTATATTGCAGTTCAGTCTGTTTTTTCTTTTGTTGTGAATTCAACTGCTAAAATCTCTCGAACCACCAACCAAACTTGTGATAAAATAACTAATTTCTTGTCGTGTTATTCGTAACCAATGATACCACCCTTCATCATCATCATATTTCATTCACTGCTTGTTTTCTTAGGCTACTGTCTTCACGCCGTACTTCTGCTAATAGAGTAGAAAATATACGTCAATACTATGCATATTTTAGACTATTTGCATGTTGAAGGAAGGCCTCGCAACAAAATGTGCGCATTTTATACTCCAAAATTTTGTTCTTCTTCCTTTCAACATAAATAATAGAAGGAACATTTTGTATGAACATAAATATTCTCATACATTTGGTTCCCTTGATAAATTTCGATAGATAAAGAAAGACCAGATTTGCAGTATAAAATAATGCCATCATTCTATTTCACAGGTCCTCGTCAGCTGCAAACTACCTGAAATTACAATGGTTATAAATAACAACATTTCATACTTCATTGTTTGAAAGGTAATAGAGAAGACATTATAAGGTAAACGCATCTGGAATATAAGTATTATAATCTAAGTCACCAACAATTTATATAATATCAAGCTATGAAAATAGAATAAGGGGGGATGAGAGAAGACAGAAAACAGAAAAATCTAGCAAACAGTGTCAACATGGCAAATCAAGAAGGTCAAAGCTCATCAATTTGAAAACTTGTTTAGTGAGTTGAGCTCACTGGTGTGTATAACTAACCAGTGTAATGAAATTGATATGGTTACCAAGGGAGTGAGAGATTGACCACACTCTCTTTCTGTATGCATATGTTTGGTCTGTGGCGTCTGATTGCAATTGCTTCAGCAAATCGTAGTAGATTCGCTGTCCTTTGTATGTTTAATATTTTGAAGGATTTAGAAATCTCGACAAAATGACCCGTATCCACAAGGTGTCTGGTAACTGCACTTTGTAAATATCTGCTTCCTTTTAGGCATAAGTTTCTTGGAATATGCTCTGAAAACCGGATAGAAGCCCTTCTTTCTGTCCTTCCAATGTACTTGCTGCCGCAGGTACACGTAAATTTATAAACGCAGTTGGAGGTAACATCAGCAGGGTACTTATCCAGTTTCGATCGCCTTATAGAGCATGTAGTGGTGTATAGTGTCACTAGATTGGCTGCAGGGAAGCATCTCTTTATTGCTCCCTTCATCCTCTTTTCAATCTTTTGTGATACTGCTTCTCCTTTGTGTGGGAGGCAAATGAACACTTTCTTCTTCTCATATCACTTTCATTATACTGATTAGTCATACACAATAGTGAGCTCAACTCATTAAGCAAGTTTTCAAAATGATGAATTTTGACCTTCTTGAGTTGCCATGTTGACACTGTTTGCTAGATTTTTCTGTTTTCTGTCTTCTCTCATCCCCCCCCCTTTTTTCTTTTTTCATAGTTTGACAGTATATAAATTGATGATGACTTAGATTATAATACTTATATTCCAGATGCGTTCACCTTATAATGTCTTCTCTATTACCTTTTAAACAATGAAGTATGAAATGTTGTTATTTATAACCATTGTATTTTCAGATAGTTTGCAGCTGACGAGAACCTGTGAAATAGAATGATGGCATTATTTTATACTGCAAATCTGGTGTTTCTTTCTCTATCAAAACATAAATATTTCATTGTAATAAGTTTTTTTGCAAAATATTTTGATACAAATAGAACTAAACTAGTAGTTGGCATTTGTCTAAAGTCATTTTATTTTAGTGATCTTAACACAGCGGGTTTGGAGATCCTTTACTTAAGAAAGACAACATGTAGAACCATTTTATATACGACTACAATTCAAGGGCGATATAACAAGTGGGACAATTAGCAGGAAATCAAGAAAATCAGTTCAAAGAACTTTAAATGCTGGCAAACTACACATCTTATTCTCAACACGACCGATGGTGCTACCTCGACTGAAAGATGAAGTACCTAGACTAGCTAGCCACTTCAAATTGTATCTACCAATTCAACTGCGCTTGTGGAGCAAGTTATGTTGGCCGTTGCTCTAGGAACTTGATTTTTCGTGCTCTCTCGAGAAAATCTTCCATTATGGCTAAGTAAAGGTGTGGTTAAAACCATGAACACTTTGATATTGGCCCATCTGTTGCAAACCGGCCGACCACAAAGCCAGCCAGCGTGGAAGAATCCTTCTCTATAATCTACCAGGTGCCTAATAAATTGCCAAAATCATCAAAGCAGAGCATGCTCCAAACACCAGAGGCTATTGCAATTCGCCTCAAACAACCAGTGCTCTGTGTTCAAAAGAAGCAAGTCCAGCCACCCCCTACTACTGCACTGGCCAGCCTTCAGTAGAGACTATAAATTCATGAATTTGTAATATTATCCTTCCTAATTCTTCTGACATTCAGCTTATTTTATGTTGATGCTACTGTGCTGTAATCTGTCAATATTATTGATTCGAAGTTATTTAAACAGCATTAATGTTGTTCATAACACTAATTCATTCATTCACTATAATGTATGTGTAACTGTAGAGCCTGATGATGAAGTTATCGGAAAGAGTACTCTGTTTTCAGTATCCATTCTTTTGATATTATTTATTTATTTTATTTTTATTTTTGGTAACAGCTTGATTCCACACTGTATTTTTGGTACAAGTATGGAATTTTCAGCATGGATATCGGTAGCCCAAATTTCGCAGGCCGACCATAGATATCTGGCATTTTTATTAAGCAAAAAAGTATCCTCCTCTATACTAATTCAAAGTAAGGTTTTACATAAGGTGTATCAAGTTACAATGTAGTTTTTTCTGTTGATGAAAGTAAGACAATCTCATGTGTCTGTAAGTTAAGATTCATAGTACAAATAATCAACTGATTCAAACTTCACCATTTCTAATCTATCTTATTAGCATAATTTGACTACTATATAGGAACAGACTATATTAGTAATGCAATGAAAACAAATGACTTCATTAGAGGACTATATAAAAAAAAATTACATTGATTTATTATTCACAAACAGGTTAACCTTAGCATGAAAAGCTTATGTGTTGTTGGCATTGCTTATTACTATACGTATGTATATACATGCTATAACATGTTCTTTTTATTAGCATAAGCATCAGCCGATGACATTTTAAAACTTTGCATATACATATATAGTGAGTCAGATGAAAATACTGATATAGGCGTATTGAATATCAGCTAGACAATAGTAAAATTTAACAACACTGAGTAGTAGTGTCTTGGAAAGATTATAATTGTTATTATTGTTCCCTTGGATTCCTAGTGGGACATAGGGTTTCAACTGCAAGTCTCCACTTGCTTCTGTCTTCCTTCTACTGTACCTTTCACCTGCATCCATGTTGGTTCATACTCTTTCAACTCCTTTTCACACGATCTCCTCCATGTCAGCCTTCCACTGACGTCCCACTTGCCACTTCCCTTTCGGCCAGGTTCCACTCGAGCAATGGCCTGACGCGCGCGTGATGACACCCAGTGGTCTCCTCAGCAAGTGTTCAATCCATCTCCACTTTCTCCTGCATATTTGTTGGTTGGTGATTGGTTCTTGTTTTGTTTGTTCCCAGCCATAGTTTCTTGTTGGTGATTCTTTCCAGCCCGGCCCGGCCATCTGATCTTCGGTATAGATCCAGCGAAAACAGTTGTTGGTTGATAAAGGTCTGCAACAGGCTGTTGGAAATATTCTTTGTGACCCGCCCGCCAAGTTTCTGATCGATCCGTATAGAAGGACTGACTTGACGTTTGTATTGAAAATCCGATCGAATTTTGTTGTTGATGGTGAGTGATGAAGACTTCCAGATTGGATTCAGGTTGATGAATGTGTTTCTCGCCTGCCTTCCCGATTCTCGCTCGATTTGACATCGTCGTCCGTTCCGACTGCCTTTAGTTGAGACAATGCTCCCTAGATAAGTGAGTGAAGCAACCTCTTACAAATCCCTCCTGTTGATGGTGATTGGCGCTGGATGTTGCTGCCGCTGTTGTTGTTGTTGGTTGGTTATTTCCATAACCTCCGTCCTGTCAGTGTTCACCTGGAGTCCTGTCTTCGCTTGCAGCTTCTTCGACCAGTTTGTCGGTTTTCGCTTGTAAGCCTTCGATTTTGTATGACACCAAACATAAATCATCCACGCGCGAAATCCAGGTCTTTTAGATTCTTCACGTCGGTCAAGGATATCTCTGTCTGCTTGTTACCCACTGTCTGACACATAATCCAGTCCACCACAATTAGGAATATCATTTGTGATAATAAGCACCCTTGTCTGACTCATGTGTTTACTCCAAACGCCTCGCTGAGTTTTCCGTTGTAGATCACCTGATATGTGCCGTGATTACCACACATTTACTTATTTAATTGTAACTCTAATGGAAACTAGCACTCTGAGTTAATATGCCAATTCATTAGTTAGATGTACTTGTCTCATAATGGATAATGTGACTAAACAGAGAATACTAAGTTTAATTTTCAACGGGAATACTAAACAGTAGCTATGATCTGTGTATTTGCAGATGATAAATGTTATACAAGAAAACAAAAGTATCCCACACACTTCATCTGCATAAATTTGGACAGTTGCATATAGCATAAATTGTTCTATCATATTTTCCTAGCGCTGTAGTACAGAGTCTTGACAAGTGCCCGTTTATAGTTATTTGGCCAGAAACTATTAAAATGCATTTTCGAAAAGATGTTGAGAAAAAGTTACCCTGAGATTCATTAACAAGTACGGAAGATGCGAAGGCTCAAATGTCAAACAAATCACAGTGGAGAAAAAGTCTGTCTTCGTTCAACTCGATTTTAAAGGTGAAAATACTTCAGGAATAGTCAACAGAAGATTTAGTACATCCCTAGCCAGAGCCCATCGTGCAGCTAAGTTGGTTCTCATCTGTCGGACAACATGCTTTTTAAGGCAACCAAAGGTCGACGGATACTCTTCTCATGCTAACTCTAACTTTGTATACAAATTCACATGTACCTGTGGAAGCAGTTACATTGGAAGAACAGAAAGAAGTTCATACCTTCAATTTTCTAAACGTGTACCGAAAAGCCTACGTCTGAAGGGAACAAACGCTCCCAATAGTGCCATTACCAGGCATTTCCTTGATGCGAGTCATGAAGTGGAAGTCGCGAAATCCTTTAAAATTATCAATAGACAAAAGAGTTTAATTCTCAAGTTTCCCGAAACAATCTCTATCAAACGCCTGAAATCCGATTTATAAGTTCTGAAAGAAGCAGTTATTAGTCTTTCCTTACCACCGTAACTGGATATCTTTACTCTCTCCTTCATTTGATTACTTAATATTTGGCTTTAACCTCACCTCCTTGGATATGTAATTTTGCTTGTCTCTTGTTTCTGTGATTTGAGTTAGCCAAGTTATGGCCACATCGAAATGAACTTTATCTAAAAACTACCAAGGTATCCTATGGTGTTTGGTTAATTTCACTTAACTGTTTCGGCTTTTTAGGCTCAAAAAAAAAAACAGACAGACTTTACTGATGGTGAACTATTTTATAAATGCTACTAAATAAACTACATATAGTATTGAAGAAAAGATAATTTAGCTTAGTAATACAATCCATAAATTAAAGTGAACAGATTTGTCCCTGATTTCAAGTAATAAAAACGTACGTAAAGAATGAAGCAAGCAATATGATGTTATTTGGTTGACGATGGTTAGCGGTGGAATCCACTGTAAGCCACTGTATAAATATTTGTACTAGGAGCCAACATATCAACGGAGACTGAGCATTTTCGTCCGATACAATCAATCAAGAGGAAATTCAAAAATAGTTCCCACAAAAAAGTAAGCAATAGATTTGAGAAAGCAGTACCTAATGTACTCATAAATTCTTTCACTCCCCGTTGCAAGTACTGTTATAGAATGGCGAAAACAAGTCACCTGAAAACTTTCCACATTTTAAATTATTATTGCATATCATAAAATGTCACCTGCACATATTACTTTAAACTGACAAGGGGGTACACATTCCGAATTCGATAATAATAGATTATCAAACAAACTTAAAACTATCTAAGGATTTAACTGGTTAACCTGAAATGCTTGGTATCATATATCTCAGTAGTTCAAATAAATTCAAAGGTTATAACATTTCCCCTTATATAAATGTTTTTTACAGTCTAGATTTGCATGGCCTATATTATTTCTGCTACAGCAACTGTAAATTTTACTACAGTTGAAATTCTTAATTATTTACTAGACTCACATTTGTTTCCAGATATGTTAAAAGAGAAGTTTAATACTAATTGTTATAAATATATAACATTCAACTGAACAGTCTTACTGAATTTCTCTCAAACTTATTTTCAATTTACCAAAGAGAAGAAATGTTTCTAAAGCGTTCTTGAACATTATTATTTATTCTTAGCGTTCCGAGACGAACACAGAACCTCGGCGGCAAGTCTTCATTACACTCAGTCACTTGCCATCGCTTTCAGCCAGTTTAGATGAATATCACTATACTACTTAATAATTAGAAGTGATGCTAAAAAGGCACTGGAGAAATATTCTTCATGAAAAAATGTCTTACTTTACAACTAATAATAAAGATAATCTGGAATAATAGAAAAGATTTGTAACTCAGGTGGATGATTTGCAATTAATAGTGTTCTCTGAGCTGGTTGGTTTAGTTGCGGAGCTTTCGTCGTCTTTCTGGATGACATCAATGCATACAGACAATTATGGACATCAATTTGATTGGGATAATATCAAAATCTTAGGCAGAGGAAACACCAAATGTGCCAGGGAATTCCTGGAAGCCTGGTACTCAAACAAAAATGCCATTAATAAACACGTTAATATAGATGAAATATATCAACTAATAAAAAGTAAATCAGGTGACCAGAAAGTTTAAAATCCCAATCAGTAGAAAACGGTCAATACATATGTAAAGATGGTTGGTCACCAGGAGACGCAATTGGATCATCATTCACGGAGGTTTTAAATCATTTGACTTTATGCTAAATACTGCGCTGAAGATGTCGTCCAGAAAGACGACGAAAGCCCCGCAACTAAACCAACCAGTTCAGAGAACACTATTAATTGCAAAGATAATCTGGCATAAAATATCAGTCAGTCTATAGGAGTTCTAAACTTGTTCAGTACATTATGTCACTAGACATTAATAAAGTGATTATTATTATTATTTTAACAATAATCAGTCGACAGGCTAAACATGATAACACAATGATCTAATCAATTACATACAACTAAACATACTTTGTTGTAGCAGCACGAATAGCTTCGCCATAGATAGGTGGAAGGGAGGAAATATTCATCAACCAAGATGGTTTTGTGGGTGTGACTGGTAAAGAACTGGCAGGATTCAAATATCCAACGTCCGGCAAGTCAAGTAAATGTGAATGATTATCACCAACTGGTTCACTCGAGAATGTCCCAGAAGACTGATTGGAAACAGCACCCCAATGATACAGCTAGGTTTAAAGAAGGGAATTTATACTGTTACTTTAATTGCATTTTCGTTTGCATTAATTTATGACATCTTATACTTTCAGTGCTTTGAAACACAACAGAAAAGTGTTCACTTGAAATTTCGAAAAATAATTAATTAACCAAGGAGAAAAATTGAAGAACAAATTTTCTGTGAACCACATATCTAATTAACACTGATACAAACAAAAAAGGTCAGTTTAAAAATCTCAGAACATTAAAAATAGAATAAATTTTTAAGGGCTTGAGAGCCACATAACTCAGTGTCAGTGACCTTCAATTAATATGGTAACACTACTGTGGACGCCAAGTCCCATGAAAATTTGAAAATTATGATATGATTATATATGAGCGATACTTTATGCTCAAAGCGTCACCAGTTAATATTGTTGTATAACACTGTATGATTTATCAAAAGAAAACTTTATCTATAATGGAGTTATTTCTGATTCCGTCAATTTAAAATAGTTCTTTGGTATTTTAAAGAGAAAAAACCTGTTTATTTCCTTTGCGAATTGCTTTTATTGTGTCAATAATATGTTCTTAGTGGTTTGTATTGCAAGAAGCTTCAGGCACGTTTTCATTTAGCAATTCACATACCTTAAATGTGTTACAAATTGATGAAAACCACATGAAGAAATCCGCAAAACAGACAGTAATATACCAAGATAACTTGTAAGAACTAATTTAACCCGTTAAAATTCCTCGAAAGACCGAAAGTAAGCTGTCTCTCATTAATCTACCATGAAGTAAAAAGAACAATGATGGAATAAGTAGAATATATACCCACGAGATGTGAAAAGGTAAAAAGAAACTTTTGATTTGGAAACTATTTTAGTATAAAACATTTCTGGATAATCTTTGACGTCCTCAGCCGATTAATGGAAGAATTCCTACTAAATAAACCATTATGCTAAAACATTTAACAGCTGTTGCCATTAAGAACTAAGAACGAGATGCACAAAACTAATGTTAAAACGACTCAACATATACCGAAATAAAACCAACGTAAAATATATATCATTATGATTTCTGTTGAAACGTAACATCACTGAAACATCAGTTGGAACTACCATATAAGTATATAGAAAAAACAGGACAAACCTGATTGCCAGTCTGAGAAACATCAGTGTCTGCAAATGAACTTTCTCTAAGCTTTGGTTTAACATCTAGAGACGGAATAACATAGTAACTACAGCATACCAGTTCTATTTGTGACAAAAGCAGTATCCAGCGCGAGCTTTTTTATATAATCATCGATCTGAATTTCCTCTGTTTTCAGAGATAGCATTTGCAGTTTTAGCTGAGTACTTTCAAATCTCCTTCGTTGCTCCTCGAGCGATGTACCAGAAGAACTGGTAACAATGATATTACTAGAAATGACTAAAATCAATAATTCACTCACTTGGAAATACTTGATTTACTGGTCATTTTTATATTGTAAGTTTTGATATGGTACGAGTAGATGGCGAGTAACTATATCCATACGTTATATTTACATGATGGAAGCACTAAGTAGTCTGTACTCTAAGATTTTGTATTCTGAAATAAACATTTTTAATTTAATATATATACATATACAGAAATTTAATTTAATATATACTTAACATATACAGTCAAAAATATGTATTCATCTGAAGTCAAGGACAAGTAGAAATGATACTGGATTGTACCTTTATTAAAATGTTCCACGCTAGTGTGTAATTATTTCAAAAACGCCATAACTCATATATTTGTGTGCCTATGGTGATTAATCTAACTTGGAAAAACGAACCTAGAAACAGGCAGACTTAAAGACAGCTTGTCTTCTTCGCAAAACATAACTATACTTCTCAATGCCAAAAGACATTAAGGTTGAATTCCTCAGTTGTCACGAACAAGTTTTAACTTTACAAGTGGTCAAAGCAGTTATGAGGATTAAGGTATTTTAGTGACTTAGTAACTTTAATTTGTAAACAGTTATCTCAGTCCTAACCTCACCCCCGTCTTCATGTAATTTATCGTTGTTCCCTACATTTTTCTGTCTTTTCTGGCTACATGTTTTTCCTAAAGACTTAGTGGACAAGAAAATGCAAGGGAAATATGAGAACTACACTCATCAAGTCACTGTTTCTGGAAAAACACACGCAAGTGGTGAAAACGAAACGCGCAACGTCTACTTTGTTTCTGCGCCAGTAATGTACTACTAAGCTCCCGACTTTTAAGGAGTCGATTGAAGCAGTAACCGTTTTAACTAGAGAGCTAAACACGGGAAGAGCGTACAGAACCTTAAAAAAAGACTACACACTTATATTATCTAAAGATATGCTCTATAACCCATACTTATCTACAAGCTATTAAGGCTCACAAAACTGAAATTTCTTTACTTGGTTTCTTTGTTGTTATTATTATCGCATCTGCAATACGACTATTGTCACATTCATTTATCCGAAATGCACCTACTGCATATATCCAAGCAGCACTAGTGAGAAAGAATATTTTTAGTTTGACCTATCTAGACAAAAGCCTCATGCCATCCTACTGCTTTACTTAAACACCTACAACTCATACTAATATCCATGTTAAGCTGTCCGCATGTCACTAGTGAAACAACTAACTGGTCAGCATGCAAAATTTGATCAAAGATAGCATAATTCAATGTTTTTATAGTCATAAGATATCCTTAAATGCAAGGTTTACACAACTGGAAATCCACTTGGAAGCTAAAATAGCTATGTGAGCTGAAACGTTAAATGTCAAGAATAAGCGTTCCTACTATAACTGTTGTTAAGACTAAATTACTGTGGATAGTCTGTGATATATAAAGTCAGTGTTAAATTGAAATTTGAAAAAAACTACAGACGACATGAAAAAGAAAGCCCGGACGTTACTACTGTGTACTGTCGAAATAATCAGACGTAGACAAGCAGAAAATATGGAACAAGATGTGTTTGTGGAACAGCTACTCCTTTCAGCAATATCACTCTGCGGCTGTACAGTCGGACATATACGTATTACAATTCCATAGCAACAAAAGGAATGCCCCCAAAGACACCAATCAATGAATTCTAAGTTACGTAAAGGAGATACATTCTGTCTGGATTCAACATACAACTTGGCACCGAAGTGCAGCAGTTCAAGTTACCACCTTCTAAATAGCACACAAAGATAAGATAATAGCTTTATTCCAAATCAGTACTTGTGATACAGAATGGAAGATGAGTGAAGAGAATCAACAGAGTTTGACAGGTATAAGAGTGAAACAGAATGGGTAATGGTAGAAAGAAATATGAAAGATTACAGAGACAGAATACATCTGCGCCATTGACAACGATTTCGAGCCATGTCACCTACTGTCTCCAGCCATTGATTCCTAGAGTCCCGAGGGCCCCAACCCGGAAGTCTGCATCGCCCTCCCTACCTGACTCAGTTTAACTGTCAAGGATTTCATGGATTAATGAGGCCATGTTTTGTATTTGGTCACCACTTACTCTTTTCCAACCTGCACCTATATCAGCTAGTAATGCCCGTCGGGAGAAGCGATGGTTAGGCATGCGCAGCACGTGACCTAGCCATCTCAATCTATGTAACTTTATAGCCTCGTCGATTGATTTTTCCTCTTTGTCCAACACTCTACGCCTAACGTCAAGGAAATAGATTATTGAGGTAGATATTAACGGATAGTTCTAAGGTTAGTCTAAGTATGAAAAGAGACATGAGGCCAAACTGCGATAACCGAAACCATGTCGACTTTGAGCGAAAAATCAGAATTCAGGTTCAAAAAAGTGGCATATAGCTAGAAAAATGTGCTGAACCATATTACAGACATATTATTACACTGTGTAATCATCTGTGTTTTCAGAACGTCATCCAGTTACCCCAAGGACAATCCATAGAGAAACCATATAATGCGCGAAGTCAAATATTCAGAGACTTTGCTTATGACAGTCTTACTTCGCCGAAATAAAAGTTAATTAACTAATTGTTTAATCTAACGCACACGCTCATAGTATAGTGACGTGACAACTGTCACAACCTCATACAGAAATTTTGAAATGACTTTGCTGGTTTAGTGAGAGAAGAGCAGACTTCAAAACGATAACAACCAGTAATAAAAAAAAACCTACGGGTTGTCTCGGCAACACTGACCTTGAATCAAATTCCCCGGTTAAATAGACGTGAAATGGCCAATACTAGGATAACTCCCAATAAGAAATAAAAGTTCAAAGTTTTCATTGATTACTACACCGTCAGAAGGCAAAAGTGATTGCTATGCGCAGATGGGATTCTTTAACTATCAGAACACGGGTTTTTTAGGATTAAATCAAGAGATTTTTGCTAGTTATGTTGGTGTCCGCGTCATGTGATCTGACTGCGACACACTTTTAGCATATTGGTTGCAATGATTAGTGTTTCAGATGGAATGTATCAAAATATCGGTGTAATGAGGGAGATAGGATAGTTAGAGGGTAATGCCATTTACACCACTCATTTACTCCATGTAGAAGCTGAATCTTTCGGCATAGTATCATTCAATGAAGACTTCATGTCTCAGGATATCAATGCAGCCTGTTTTCGTGTGAAGAACAGTCTTTTTTGACGAAGTAATTCTCTCAATACTTGGAAATCACCTGCAAATGTTATCAGAATCGTTGGTGGGAACCTAAGTTGTCATTTAGATGTGCTTTTCACTTTATCTGTGGTTGCAACATGGACAGGAATTATGGTAAGTTGAAAGGTTATCTCTAAATGGATTTCATATATATTGGCACTGGTTGGTGCAGTGTGCTATGGGTTATGTGAATTAAATGTACAAAAATATCTCAACTGTAATAATATTGGGCCATTGTCTACTTAGCTGACTGATAGGATAACAAACGAAGGTGGTTATCACGATTATTGCCAGTACGGTGCAGTGGAGAAGGCAATTGCTCGTTTAAATTTCCTTGCTGTTCCAATTAATGCACTAAATCATTACACGGTATGATTATACGCATGAGTCGTGGTGATTACAAGAACTGAATCTATTCAGCTTTATTATCATTAATATGAATTTATTCTCTTTTACAATTTCCACTGACTGTATACTTAATGCTGCAATATTTTTGACCACCAATAGTGGAGATGAATTTCTCCTGAGATTTCCATTTAGACAAAGCAGTACAGATGCGCTATGACGATTGAATTTTCTAGTTTGCATTATATGACATTATTATCCTCATCAACACAACAGGTCTGTGTACTTTACAATAGTTGAAGTGATTCACTATGTTGTTAGCACTGTGCATAGCTGTCTAGAGTTGAGGCATGTTCAGCTTATATTTGATGCCTATAGTCTCCTAAATGTGAAAATGTGATTTCTGTAGGATTCACAAAACCTTGTGGACTAGACATTACTGAGATTGTGGATTAACTTCTAAGTTACACACTTGCAATACTTCATTTCATGTAAAAGTGTTTAGTGTGAAGTTGATCTGCAAGTAAGCTTGATGAGAGAATGACGCCTCAATAGTATGAATGTTTCGGAGATTGCCTTGAAATTTGCATATAGTCCTCAAATGCAGGAAAACATATGATGTATATTTATGTATACGGCGTCAACATAAATATCAGCTGTAGACTACAAATACATTTATCTCCATGAGATAATACTTAGTTTTAACAGAATGATTGTATTCATATTATATGCTAATATGTAGAATTATCTCTTGTAACTTCATGTTATGCTAGTTCTAACATGTACTTTATTTTTTCCAGGTATACGGAGGTTGTCGAATATGAAATCAGCGGAAACATCATTCGGTCAAACTAACTTTATTACCCTTCATCAGAATTTTCTTTTGTAAATTAATCAAATGTTTAATATACTCTTGATTACTTCTTCCTGTAGACTTCTTCAATTCCTCGCTATACTATGTGCTTTTGTAATAAGTGAATTAGGAATAATAAACGCTAAGCTTAGTTAGTGGGATGGAGATTTACTGTAGTATTATGAGAATGTTACTTTAGTCATTAGTAGGATTTCGTGTCTGTTTCTACACAATAGCACATTGTAAAAGCTAAGTGGGATTTAGCAAGTTGAATAATAATTCTGTACTGTTTGATACTCTAAAGTCGCCTTATCTAGCCAGTTGAAAGTCTGTATACTGTTAAACGCCAAGTATGTAGTACAAGTAAATGTAGTAACTTAGGCTTGATATCTACTTCACTAATCTGTTAATATGCAGTGACATCATCAAATAGACTGTTCACTTGACAATCAGCTAAGAAACAATTTTTATTTATTTTAATATGCCGTTGAATCATAGGATGTTATCTAGTATCCATCATTTCTGTGATCAAAAACTGCGGTATTTGCATGTCTACTTTATAGATGTTAAATAACCTACGCCTGTATGCATCTAATTACCTCCAGTATTCCCTATTCATTTGGTGTGTGTAAACTAAACAAGTCTTTCATAAATTCTCCCATAAATGCCAAACTTTCTAGTGTTACAAGCGTTAATAAGACCTGCTTCCTTTGTTTCAAATCAAATGAGGTATATACGAACTAAGGGAAAGTTACTCTTACTTTTTTTTTTTGATTTACAGCTTGATTCACACTGTATTTTTGGTACAAGTATGGAATTTTCAGCATGGATATCGGTAGCCCAAAATCTTCAACCTTCACTTAGAGCCTTTAACGATCCCAAACAGTTCTCCTATAAACACAGTAGACGTACTTTAGATGCAGCTGCAGTCTTGCTTCACAACATTTTCTCCAGTATAGACAATGGGGCTAAATTCGCTGCACCTCCCTAGAATACACATCTGCTCTCGACTCAGTATCTAGAGATATTCTGTTACATAAGCTTGCTGAAACTCAAACTGAGTATTGGATTGTTAGATGGCTTCATTCTTATTTATCAGGGAGAAAGCAGTACACTGTAGGTCAGGGGGAAGTCGTCCATTACCAATTGTGTTTTTGTTTGATGAACTTATTGTACGAATGCATACGAAAAGAACTTTTTCAAACACGCGGACGATCTAACTATTTCAATGTCTGTTAACTGCCAGCTACACTGTACTAAGATGAACAGCTCTCTATTAGGAGTGGGAAGATGCTCTTAAACTGAATCCTTCGAAATGTCAGACTGTTATTTTCAGTTTCCGATGTAAACGAAAGTTAGTTGAAGGTGTTAATTCCTATGACCGTTGCAAAATTGATAATGGTGATATGGAAATTAAGTCAGACTTTAAGTTTCTCGGACTAATTCATCACAGCGTGTTGGCCCTAAATGTATGCCACATGCAGGCATAATGTTTATGAGCTAGGTATGCAAATCAAGGTAGACACTTGTATGGTATATTCATTATTTATAAAACTAACTCGTACGTAAGAACTATGGTTTGATCAGTTATACAACGTTTAATACATTTAGACACAATTAACCTATGATGCTTACTTCTATGACGCATTACCTAAAACTACATTAATATAGTTTCTGCTGAAGGTAATCTCCTATAGCTACCGCCTTAGTGGGCAACTTAGCGTTATCTTTGAATAACGAAAATTCCGAGAACTTTGTTGGTAAAAAGATCGTCCCTTACTCGAAAAAATTAAATATACCCTAGTCTCCACAAAAACGTTCAGAGGTATTCATCGTATCACCTCAAACGACTCACTATTTGCAGTCATTTAAAAAGTAAAAATAAGTTTACCGATGGCAGCGTGCCTAAGGGGGGGGTCACTAAGGTGAATCGCCCCATTCTGCAGGAACAGCAATACGCAATTTGAAGGCTCGAGATATTTCTGATTTTTATGAGGGCTTAGATCTTTATCTTGAAAAAGATAATAATGAACGCCTAAACAGATCATGCTTCTACCTTTAAATATATACCATTCACTCAGCCTATTGTTGAGGTGCGACCATGTGGGATCTGCACAGATTTATGGGGCATCTTATAAACTAACTTGCTGTCCATTGTCGGATCTTTAAATACCACGTCACAATGTCTTATCTCATTTATTTTCTAATAACGTCTTAACTTGATCCTCATTAGATTCCATTAAACCTAACATTTTATAGTTTTTTATGAATTTGATTCGACTTATTCTATTCCTATTCTCTGTAGGGTACGGTTGTGCACCAAATGCACAAAAAGGCATAAAATATAAAAAAACCAACATAAGGAAAAAATGTATTAAAACCAAAAGTGGACATCATGATTGTGCAAACTGTACAGGAAGCATTATACATTGCAAATGAACGTTGTCACCCTAGGGAGTTTCCTTTATTAATGCATTTGTTAGTGATACTTGCACTTACCCATTTCATTACACTTTATTGATTCACCTTAGCACTTTTACTTTTCTAAAAACAGCTTTCAATCCGTTGTAAACGTTGTACTTACCTCAATATTGGTTGGTTATCGTATGCCTACAACCACGGGATGAAAACGAAACGAAGTCGATTTTCCCGCTCAACCTGGAGGACAATTGTACAACTCAATAACTATACAGACTAGTTCAGACAATGAGTGTATTTATATATATATATCAAATATTTAACTGTTGAAACATTATTAACTTGTAGACAATCTACGATTTGATATTATATCATACTTGATCGTGCCTGTAAAAATGGCATGCATTTTCATGTAAATTTATATGTTTATATGAGAATATACATTATTATTATTGTTATGATTTCTCGATATCATAATGTACCATGAGGAAAACGCTATATCCATGCGGTTATAACAGTCAGATGCGCGAAATTAGTCAGAAACACAACAACCACGATTCTCAGTCACATAACATCTTACTTCGCTACCTAATCGTATAATCGTATCAACGGATGTTTCGCCAAAGAAAAGAAGACTACTGGTTCAAGGAAAATTTATTTAGTTTTTTTAAAGATCGTGAACATCTGTGTTCATAGTCACGGAAGAATCACAACTTCGAGGAAACCACCGATCGTAGACTACAACCCGAAACGTTATTCTTCCTAATTAATGTCTTACCTTTAACTGGGATTGTTCGTACACTCACCAGATCATCGTATTTTATCCGCTTTGAAAACCGTTTTGCAACCCATCGAATAGATGTTAACACTGGCTCTATTACGGGTAGTCCTAGTTCATGTATTTGGATCTAGTACATCAAGCAATAATAAGCATAAGTAACACTTACCCTTAAGGATTCCAGGTTCTTTTAGTTCCCCAAAATACACACAAGCACAACAGATTCATACTTTTCATGCGGCTCAACCTTATTTGACTTAGATTCTCTCACAATATATT